AGGATAGATCCCTGTGGAACGCCATGTGGTACGTCTTTTTCTGTTCCTGTCGTTGTTCTAAATCTGCCTTTGGTGGATCTTTTCGATAGGTAATTTTCTATTATCTTTATAATGTTGTTACGTGCTCCCGCTTCGTACATTTTCTTTATAAGGCCTTTATGATTTATGGAGTCAAATGCTTTGCTAAGGTCAGTTGATATCATTGCCACACTGTGTCCCTTCTCCAGAGCGTCAGAGATATATTTGCCAGTCCTCAATATTTGTGTTCCTGTCCCTCTTTGACGAACGAATCCATGTTGGTGTTCAGGAATCAGTTCGTTAATTTCCGTATTTATTCTCGAGAGAATAATGCGTTCGGCCCATTTGCCCATGATATTAAGAAGGCTTATGGGTCTGTAGGACTTGAGTTGTGTGTAGTCTTTTCCTGGTTTATGCAAGAAAATGCAGATGCTTTCTTTCCATCTCTTGGGGAAGTATCCCGTGTTAATAATATAATCCATAATTCGCTTGAATATGGTTATCATCGTGTCGCCTCCCAATTTTAGAACGTCCGCTCTTATTCCGTCAGGGCCCGGTGCTTTCTGATTTTTGAACTTTTGAAGGGCTACTTTTAACTCTGCATGTGAGGTAGCTTCTAATGGATGGAATGGTGTATATTTTTCTGTATTTTCGTCTTCACGAGCGATGTCAGACACGTGAATGATTGCGGTGTTTACTAAATTATCTATGATTTCCAATTCTGTGTTACAATTTTCTATACGAGGGAGTCTTTGAGTTGGTCTTTTCATGGCTCTTTGTATACTCCACATTTTTCTTCTGTTATCTGTCTTATTTTCTAAAACTTTATTCCAACTTTCTTCTCTGTATTCTGTAATTTTCTTAGCTAGATAACGTTTAAGTCTGTTATGTTCTCTCTTTAGTTCGTTGTATCTGTTTGTGAATCTTAGACACCATGCTATATTTTTCGCCTTGTTTCTCTTTACTATCAACTTTTGAATGTATTCGGGAAGATTGTCTCTGAGATTGGTTTGTTTGAGCGGTGCGAATACATCCAGCGTTTGTACTATGGCTGTTTCTAGCTTCATGATGGTTTCATCGCAGTCTGCATCTGTTTCTATTTTAGCGCATGGGTCTATCTTAGTTGCTAGAAATTGTTCAAACTCGTCTCGTTTTTTCAGGTCTGATTTAATATCTTTCAGGTTACGACTGAGTTGTATCTCGTAATCGTTTTCCAAATTGATTATGGTTAACCACGGCATGTGGTCTGAGCCTATAGATTCTATTTGTTTGCACGATTTTATGTCCAAGTCTGAGTGGTCATATGTTGTTATTGCTATATCTAGTATATGCTTATTGCCCATGCTAGTCGGTCTTGATGGCTGACCAGAATGTATGATTCTACAGTCTCCATTGATATGTATATCTCTTAATAGAACTCCAAGGCCCCCATCATTTGGGTGGCCTAGTAGTTTCATCCTGAGGTTCATGTCTCCTATGATTATGGCACCCTCTTCTCTAAGCAATTGTTCGAATTCATCAAATAGTTCATTTTGATTCGGTATTGGGATATAGATGCCTTTTATTGTGATGTATTCTCCTGTTATGTGATTGGTGAAAACTCGGATACTGCACCCTTCAATGTTTCTCTCGTCGTCATTAAAGGAATTGATAAGTCTGGTTTGAGCCCACCTTATGCCGCTTTTGATATATATAATAGTACCTAGATGGTTGGCTTTCTGTTCGTATATCTTGTCGTAATTGAGAATGTTGAATTTTTGATTATCCAGGTTAATTTTTGCTTCATTTATAATGGCAATATCTATATGGTATTTATGAATCAACTGTTTTATTTCTGTGAACTTTTTTCTGACACCCTGTGTATTGATGTGCAAGATTTTCATATGTTTCTTACTGCCTTTAGTCGAGTAGAATATCTCTAAGTTCTTTCATTAGTTTTATAAACTTTTCCATAGTTCTATCGAATATTGTAATTTTTTCTTCTTTAGTTAATTTTTCGCATGGTTGGCTCTGTTCGCTTTCATTATTGTCCTTTAAGCTTTTCGCTACCTGTGCATACGATATGCCCTTATCAACAGCCGATCTGCGAACCGGAGATCTCGATTTTCTATTTGTTGCTTGTGGTGTTGGTTTAGGTGCAGATGAGACGTTATTGCGTTTCTCTTCCACTTTTTCAGCATTTTTCTTTTGTCGCTCTATTGCTTTTTTGAAAAATGGGCATTTCCTCTGTGTTGCGGTGTGTTGCTCTGGCTGCACGTCTTTGCAGTTTGAGCAGACACTCACTGATTCATTCTGATTATTTTTAATCATTATGGTTGGTTCTCTTTTAGGGGCGTGACATGCACTTGTTGCGTGATTGAATTTAAAGCAATTTTTGCATTGGAGCACCCTATCCGACCCTACTTTGTATCTTTCAGGTCTTAGCTTGTGTGCACAGTAAAACGATTCTGTCGTATTTTTCATTCGTTCAGCTAGCTCGTTGTATGAGAAGTCGCCACTAAATATACACAGTTGTACATCGCTCGTTATCTTTTTCATGTTGAGAGGGCGAATGCCTATGCATTTTTCCATCTCGTCTTTTTGGTCTTCGATTGGGTAGTCGTGTCCCATATTTCTAATTATAATTTTTGTTGTTTTTATTTGTTCTGCCTTAGGTTTTGGTGCTATGAACACCAGGTCTGGTTTGTAGCTCTTGATGTCTTCTATTGCCTTCGCTCTCTTCTCTAAATCGGTGAGTGTGATGAGAATATTTTTGCTTCTCTCATTTCTGATAATACGGCCCCACGGCCGTAGACTTAACAAAAATAATAGACAAGTACCACTACTTGTCTATTATTTTTGTTAAGTCTCTCACAAGTTGGTCACTCAACATCTTTTTCGTGTCCCTATTATCTTTATATTTATAGGTCACGTCTGTGATTAAAATTGGTGGTACATGTGTACCATTCCTGGTTGGTTTATTTTTCAAGGTAGGTACCGATTGCTTAGGTGAACTATGGTGCGTTTCCGTTCGCCTTGTAACTTTTTTTGCTTGGGATACGCCTTCTCCTTCGTACGGGTGAGGGCGCTTTAATGACTGGCTTCGCGATCTCGGTTGATGGTCACTTACCGATGAAGCTGAGTGTGAGCGAGACAGCACGATCATGCCACTTTTTTCTTGGTTCGATCTGGTTTGAAGCTCAGCAAACCGATTTTGAGCCAGTATTGCATCTGGTATCGCTTTAGGTGGAATAGGAACTTTAGTTGGTTTCTGTGTAGTATTTTTCTTAGTTGTTAGGCTTAGTTCGTTAGGTTTTATCTGAACTTTGTTTATTTTTAAACAGTTACATACGTATTCCTCTTGAGATGTGTACTCAGTTTGCGGTATCGCTTTAATATATCTTTGTTTTTTGCATTCCTCACAGTTATGGGACACGCTTCTTGCTACCGTGTTTATACACGAGTAGATTTTATAATAAATGTCCGGTGTAAACTTGCCGTTTATGTGACGATGGTTCACAAACATACAAATCTTTATTACGCTGGTTCTGGTGCACTTTTTGCATTTCTTCGATTTTATTTTAGATTGTCCATTAGTCCATTCTAAGAAATTTTTGATAAAATTCTTATGGTTACACTGGTGGCACTGCACGGTAAAAGTACCGTCATCATTTGTTGACAGTTCTCTCACTATTTCGTAGGTTACTTGGTGATCTAATTTAACTATTTCACTACTAACTAATAAGTCCGTCTCCATGATGGAAGAGTCGCTTTCACATTCAATTAGTTTAAATTAGTTTAATACACAAATAGTTCACAAAAAAGTCACATTTTGCACTTTTTTTCTTCACATAAAAACAATAACACAAGTAGTAGGAAAAATAGGTATTAGCTTAGGTATAGCTTTATTTCAACAGTACCAAGTTTCCAAGCTTCTAACACTATTAGTCGAATACCTTTCAGATGTTTCGCATTCTATTTTTAAAATGTAATCATCGTTAATTCGTGTGTATGTTATCTGTAGATAATTATTTAGATTTCATGTATTTCCTGTGGAAATTTATCCGGAAATCGCTATGATAATGATAAAAAATAAATCCGTCTGTGAGTGTGTTCTTTCAGAATGAATTAAAATATGATTTTTTTTATTGATTATAATATGAATTAGGACAAATATTGATTTAAGATTTATTAGGCTAGAGTAGCTTAGGGCTAGTGGAGACGTCGTGGGACGTTGTGTGTGAGACGTCGAAAAAGGGAAGGTTTCGTATTTTATGTCCCCGCCTCTGTAATACGTTTTTTTTTATGTAATTGGTCGGCAAACGAGCAGACGGATTACCTGATGGTAAGCAATCACCGCAATCACGGAGTTACGAGTGCGTTGCCGACCTTTTAGGGATTAGGGATATGGAGATTTAGGGATTGAGGAGGGATTGGGGGCGGGGAAGGATTGGGCCTCCGGTAACCTCACTCACACGGCGAAACACAACGCTGTGGTTGTTTTACGCCGGTCTTCTGTGAGGCCGTGGTATCACTCCGGTCGAGCCGACCCATTCGTGCCGAAGCATGGCTCTGCCACACTTAACGACGTTCCAGGTCATTGTTCCTTTCCTAGTGTAAAGCCTTTTTATTAGGGGTAGAAGATACCTAATCATTTTTTGAGGACTCTTACAGAATAATAACCATCTCGTTCCTTATACTCCAGGCCGGGGTCGGTACAACAACAATCAAGTAACAAAGGCGATGGCTCGTATGACGGCCAATACTAGTGAAGGGTTGCTTTGGAATTGGAGATATAGGCATGGCTATAGAAAAAGGTGAATGACGAAGATCTAAAGTAAATAATTCAACTTAAATTAAATAAGCGAAGCAACATGCACTGCTAGTGATAAATAGGTATTGATAATTTCTACAAATCAATCTTAAAATCAGTTTCAGTGGCAAGCCGACTGATAAAATGATTATCTTACTTCTAAAACATTATTTAAAGATCATTTAATGAAGATATCTCTCATTAGTATTTCGCACTTTGTTCAACATGAACTGCAAAGCTGGACTTTTGTTTTTTATTATACTTCTGATTGGAAGCTTTGGTGAGTAATACAATATTTTACAATAATGTCTTGTTTTCGATGAAAATAAAAATCCTGCTGTCCTATTATAATGTTATAAATCTAAAAGTTTGAGAGAATGTATGGATGTATGTTTATTATACTTTAATACAAAAACGGCCGAACCGACTTGTTTGAAATTTGGTATGTAGATTAGCGATTTTGAACCTTCTTTTATGAGGGGAAAATCTTCAAATGACTTCTCCCAGCCAGGGTCGGGGCCCTACATGGTCGATTTTCAGGCGGGTTTGCGGGGCTAGCCCAATAAGGTACCGCAGCCTTGGCCTAAATCAGTAGAAGGAACGAGGGGGTTTTTAGTCAGTAAGAGTCTGACACTAAGTCTCGCCTCGCCCGGGGCGAGTGAATTCATTGGATAATTTTCCCCTCACAAAAACAACATACGAAGCAGCGGATGGAAGCTAGTAATTAATTTCTCTTTGCTTGTTCTACAGCTCTTCCAGCACCCGAAGATGACATGTCCATATTCTTCGACCACACCGACGCCAACGCTCGTATCATCGGCGGTACCGAAGTGGCTGCCGGCACCCACCCCCACATGGTGGCTCTGATTGTAGGAGTAACCGTTAAGAACTTCATCTGCGGAGGATCATTACTCACTCAACGCACTGTTCTGACTGCTGCCCACTGTGTAGACAACGTCTACGGCATTAACTGGGTCATTCGGTAAGTATTCGATAGATTTTTATTTGTCATTATTCTGCAGTAAAATGTATAAAATGTGGAACACATCGTCTCCGTCTTTATCATCAGCACGTCGATTCTATAATATTTGTTTGATTTTGAATCGTGTTCGAGTGCGAAGTGAGCGTCGAAGTGACGGGTAAATTAAATTTTAGAATGCCACTTTTAACGTCATTTCATTTAATGATATTAGTCATATCATTTCAGATTCGAAGTTTAGAATGAAGTCTTACAGAATCACACTGCAGGACTGTCTGCCAAGGTCAATAATATATTAGCATTTTATAATATTAGCACCTTATTTTCTAAATCCGATCCCAGATCTGCGCGAGTGGCTGTCGGCTCGACCCGCTGGGACAGCGGAACTGATTACAGTATTCTCCGTAACGTGACCCACCCTGACTACAACCGGTGCATAGTCAAGAACGACATCAGTGTCCTCATCACCGCTAGCAACGTGGTACTCAACAGCAGGTGCAGCCTGTTGCCCTCACTTACGAACACATTGATGCGGGAATGCCCTCCATAGTTGCTGGTTGGGGTGTTACCAAGGTGAGGGAAAACCTTCCTACTTTTCAAATTGTGAAATGACTTTTACAATGAACTTATTCATTGTTTTTCTTCGAAAATAAAATACTTATCAAGTTAATTGTTCGCGTGTCGCGGAATGCCGCTCATGAATAAGGGCCTCTAGCATGGCTTGAAACTAGTCGAGTATCTCGTCAAATTATTACGTGAGTAAGCCGAAAACATAATAATTAATTTAGAATGTCTCACGAAAGTTATAATAAAAATACTTATCAAGTTATTCGCTGCGTATTACTAACACGTTAGGCAGATACTGTGTCTATTGAAATGTGTTTTTCAATCGAGGAGACGGATTACCTGATGGTAAGCATTCATGAACACTCGTAACACCAGAAGACTGGTGCATAGCCTACATTTTGGGGATAAGGGGTTTTGGGGATTTAATAATTGGGAGGAGAAAGGATTGAGCTTTCGGTAATTCACTTATACGATGAAACACAACGCTGTGGTTGTTTCACGCCGGTTTTCTGTGAAGCCGTAATATCACTCCGGTTGAGCTGACCCATTCGTGCCGAAACACGGCTCTTCAACACTTACTCTTGATAATGTAATAGGTTAGTATTTACATTGGATTAACGACGTAATAGTCAAATGTCCTTTCCAACAAGGGCTGATATTTCAATAGTCAGATATTTATCTGAGGATTGTGTTGCTGTCCCTGTCTTATACAAACATTCTGACGCGACAACATCATAATTATTCCCCAGATAACTTTTATCTAACCATTGAAAAATCAGCCCTAAGTCAATTTTCTTCATATTGTTCGTTTTCCAGGCGGGTGACTACACAATGTCAGAAGTTCTGATTGAACTGCCGACCACCACCATTGGCAATAAAGACTGTGTGAGTCGCGTGTCTGAAGCTGCTATTCAAGAGGGGTACCTGGTATACGTGGACCCCAGCCTTGAGATCTGCACCTTCCATTCTCCAGGATTTGGGGTTTGCAGCGTAAGACTTTTTCCTTTCTTCGTATCAGAAAATGATTAATTTTTGACCGGTTTTCTTGACGATCCCTTCACCCTTCAACTCGTCTACAGCCTGAATTGGAAATTTAAGCTATTTAATTAAACGACTAGTCAGTCAGGTCGTTGTATGACTAATTCAACTATTTGCGACATATAGTATATGATACCCAAGATACAGACCCAGTCTCTTTCCCAGGTTCGGGCCAACGCAATGACACAAAATGTACAAAAAAAATCTGTGATAAAGATTAAAATTGATTTTTTGATTAGATTTTAAGCCTCTTCTTTTTTTACAGGGTGACTCTGGTAGTGCTCTGCGTCGCGCTGACAACGGCAAGCAGTTCGGTATCGCGTCCTGGGGCTTCCTCTGTGCCCTTGGCCACCCTGACGTCTTCGTCAGGATCAGCGCTTACGAGAGCTGGTTGAAAACTGTAATCGTTTAAAAATACATTAATCAAGACTAAATAAGTACCCGATAAACCTTTGTGACAAATAGTTCTTACAGATAGCCGCCGCCGACGTATCTTGCCGAGTCTGAAGTTAGCCGATTAGCTGCGCAGTACACAAAAAGTTCCATCATCCACAAACGGCTAACTTCAGACTCGCGAAGATACGGCGGCCGTACTGTACTAGCTATCCTGGAATTTTGAAAAAGTCTTATCTTCTGTTATTCTAAGCATTATAAGTGTGTTTTTAATAAACTCAGTAAAAAAAACTATTGCTTTTAAAATTATATTTTCCTTGTCCTTTTTTTCTTATAAATTTACCATGTAGATTATTAATACCAGACAGTTTTAAGGGAACTTTTAGAAAATTAAAATTTGTAGTAGCATTAGTAGACGTGTTTTTATTTTTAGTTTTTTGTGTGGGAAGTTCAAGCCCAGGGTAAAGCGAGAGTATCAGGCTCTGCTCCGTCTCCTTCTCTGGGCTGAGGCCGCGGTCAATTATGTTTGGCTGGAAGTTTTACTTACTTCTTTCATGTACCTATTTGAAGCTTCTAACCCAAGGTGTGGGAGATCCATGCTTCGGCACGAATGAGTTGGTTCGACCGTAGTGATACCACGGCCTCACAGAAAATCGGCGTAAAACAACGAGCGTTGTGTGAGTGTGGTTACCGGAGGCCCAATCCTTCCCCAAAAGGTCGGCAACGCACTTGTAACTCCTCTGCTGTTGCTGATTGCTTACCATCAGGTAATCCGTCTGTTCGTTTGCCGACCTATAATATAACAAAGTGGGTTCTTGTGTCATGTAGTCCTCAACGAAATATCTTCGTATGTATGCCAAGATAATAATTTAAATGATAAAACAAACATTATTTATGTTAGCGCCATCATAAGCCTCCTATAAGTGCCTACTAAGCAAAGGTCTTTTTTTCACACGGCATAGGGTATGACCATTTTCACGCTTGTTCAAAGGTTAATTGTCAATTTCAAAGTTATATTTAAAAATTGCCTAAGTCCAGAAACTCTAGGCTTTCAGAAATATAGAAAATTATAAAAGTTAAGTTATGCTTCCTGCGCATGTCAATGGCGTGTGCATAATCTTTAAAATTCAGTAGATGCTATAGGTAACTCGGAACTCGAACCCACACCTTCAAGCATTAGAAATAGGAGCCTTAACCTTCAGACCACCAGGATATCAGTAAACCACGCTTAATCACACTTTAATCGAAATCAAATGCCTATATTTATATGTAGGTAATGACGATATGTTATCACTGGAGGAAATAAATAATACCTCATTAATTAATCACTATATGTTATCTTACTATATACTTAGAATTTCCAATACATAGATAAAAAAATTATTTTTTCAATTGCTCATTCGTATTTCGCTCGTTGGTAAATATGGACTACAAAGCCAGACTTATTGTGTTCTTCACACTTCTGATTGGAAGCTTTGGTGAGTTATACAACTTTATTTATATGTAATAGGACAATTAGCAGGTATTTCACCTGATAGTAAGCAATCGATGTCGTCCATCGACGAAACTTCTACAATAAAAGTCAAAAAAGAGTGCGTTGTCGCTTTTGAAGGTTATGGAATAGAAAATTGCTGTTTTGCAGACAGAGGGAAGATAACACCAAAAAAAAAACATTGCCACCTACCAGAATTTTCTCCTGTGTCGTGGGTGCGTTTACAAACATATAATTTTACATACACATCACACCCAGACCCGGAACAACGATTTGTGGATCACACAAAGAGTTGTACGTTGTTGTTGCACGGCAGCCAGTTGCCCAGCCACCGCGCCAACCGTGCAGTCAACAACAAGCGTTATCTCAGGCCGGTTTCTGTGAGACCGAAGTGTCGTACTTCGGCTTGAATGGGCCAGGTCTACAACAACCACATGTGAATGTCTTATGAGCAACCAGAAAATATTCGTTTATTATTTCATCTTTATCCTTCTTTTAGCCTTCCCAACTTCTGAAGATGACATGTCCATCTTCTTCGAACACACCGACGTCAACGCTCGTGTGGTCGGTGGTACTCAGGCGGCAGTCGGCAGCCATCCCCACATGGTGGCTCTGTCCTTCGGTGCTGACGTGAAGAGCTTCCTCTGCGGGGCATCACTGATCACTCAGCGCACTGTCCTGACTGCTGCTCACTGCATTGATGTCGTCCACGGCGAGAATGGGCTTATTGAGTAAAGTTGATGTCCAATGCTATTTACATGCAAATAACCTAAGTATACATATAATATATGGACACCCGCAACACCCACGAAGTTGCGAATGCGTTGTCGGCATTATGGAGACAAGAAGTTTTGGGAGAGAGGAGGGAGGGTTGAATTGTGCCACCGGTAGCCTTAATCACACGTCGAAATACAATGCTTTGGTTGTTTCACGCCGGTTTCACCTACTTTGCTATTATTCCATTGAATTTTTTTTTATTATTACCTACTTACTTTTTCGTTTTCTGTTGGAACTTTTCAATAACGTATCATAATGAATGTTTTTAAGTAATTATATTATTTCTACTTACAGTTCTTTCCGTGTGTCTGTCGGCTCGAACCAATGGAACAGCGGTACGGAATACACCGTAGCCTACAACATGACCCATCCTGACTACGATTTTTGGACCATCAAGCACGACATCGGTATCGTCGTCACCTCCACAAACGTGGTTCTCAATAACCTTGTGCAGACGGTTCCCGTCACCTACGACTACATTGGTGGGGGAGTTGCAGCTATACTCGCTGGATGGGGTAGAATCAGGGTAAGGAAATAAAAATACCGTTACCGTATTTGTTTTGAAATGTTGGAGGGTCAAGTTTTGGCACGAATGGGACCGCACGATCTGAATTCGCAAAGAAAATCGGCGTGAAGCAACCATAGTGTGGTTTCGCTGTGTTAGTGAGGTTACCGGCAGTTGAAACCTCCCCCTTCTCCCATCCCTCCCCCATCTTTACATCTGCGAAACCTCAATCCCCAAAAGACCGTACGACACACTCATAACTACTCTGGTGCTGCGGGTGGCCACATTGCTTACCATCAGGTAATCCGTCCGCTCGGATAAAAAAATAATAATAAAGAAATAAAACTGCAATCATCATAAGACAAATTGCTTGTACTTAATACTTTGTAAATCACGTGCCGATCTCTTGTTTCAGGCCGGTGGCTCCTTGTCCCGTGAACTATTGGAACTAAGGACTAACACCCTTGATGGTGCCGACTGCATGATACGTGCGGCTCGTGCCTCCATAACACTGAACATGGCGTACGCTCCAGGAGTAGACCCTCATGTTGAGGTCTGCGCTTTCCACTCTGCTGGATTTGGCGCTTGCAATGTAAGTATTTGCAGTTTCTAGCTCGTTTTTCTCCATTCGCATCTACACTTTGGAACGAGAACCTAGGTTCATCAATCACGCTAACTATTTGTTTTGTCCTGTGTCGTGGGTGCAGTTACAAACATAAAATTTAACATACGCATGGCACCCAGACCCGGAACAACAATTTGTGGATCACACAAAGAGAAAGAGTTGTTTCTTATGGGAATCGAACCCGCGACAATTTCCACGGCAGCGAGTTTCCCAGCCACCGCACCAACTGTGCAGTCAAAATTATTTCATAATTGAACGTTTCAAAAGTACCTTACACTTTGACTTTAGGTGTTCCTTTTTACCAACTTCTAAACACATCACCACAGCAATCGTGGTACCATTTAAATATTTTTGTAAGATTTTGTCTACTTATCAGTAACTTGGATAATCTTAACAGTATTTCTGTTGTTCATCAGGGTGACTCTGGCAGTGCTCTGCGTCGCGCTGACAACGGCCATCAGTTCGGTATCGTATCCTGGGGCTTCCCATGCGCCCTAGGTGCCCCCGACATGTACGTCAGGATTAGCTCTTACCAGATCTGGTTGAGGTCTGTCATCGTCTAGGACGTAGAAGATGAGTGTTAACAGTCATTGAAGTGACAATATACGTGATGAAGAGTTTAATTTCAAGTGAATGTGTTGTGTGATAAATAATAAACTTACATAAAGTACAATAATTGCTTTTTATTTTGCAAACAGCTTTGACTGGACAATTAACTTTTGAGTTAAATTATTGCTGGCTTCAGTGATACTATTTTTTGAGAGGGGAAAATCATCAAATGACTTCTCCCGCCCAGGGCCGGGCGGGGGGAATGTCAGACTCTTACTGACTAAAAACCCCCTTTCCTTCTCCTGCTCTAGGCCGAGGTCGTGGAGTCTCATTGCGCTTACCCCGCAACCCCGGCTGGCTTCAGTGATACTTAAGATGTTCAGTTCGTAGGTATGCGTTTACAGATCACGTTACCAGCGTAAACTATCCCACTACCTACTGAGAAGAATGACCCACTATATTATTATTTATAACACAAATATATATAGGTAGAAAAAATATGAGTAGCCTTTTAATATTATACGATACTATCAATATTTAATTGTTAATCACTTATGAGTATCACAATAACAGTCGGGAATCTTTAATACCTACCAAGTTAAAATGATAAAAGGTAAGTCTATTAGTCATTCAACATTTTCGCATGTGATTATTATGCATACAAAGAACCCAACGTGAAAACAATAAAGAAATAAATAAATTAAATTCCTCTAAATAGATCACATTTTATACAGATGACCCAATTGTTTAAGAAATAATAGGTTTTAACCTAATTACATTCATAAATTAACTTAATTTAGATTTTTCTTTATATATTGAGATATATAAAAAAATAAGGTATAGTTCGGAAAGACGGATTACCTGATGGTAAGCAGTCAGCGCCGCCCATGGCACAACACAACAACTGCAACGGATTAGTTACGAGTGCGTTGCCGACCTTTTAGGGATTATGGATTTGAGATTTAGGGATTGAGGAGGGATAGGGGATGGGGAAGGGGAAGGATTGGGCCTCCGGTAACCTCACTCAAACGGCGAAACACAACGCCGTGGTTGTTTGTTCGTCTCGAAACATGGCTCTCCCACACTTACTAGAGATAAACTTTGGAATAAAATACCTAGGAATCACCTGAAGTCGATTTATTTAAACCTGTGTTTCAGAGTATATTGTTACATAATTCGTCGATTGACGGCATTATGATAATTATCATCTATTATTACTACTCAAACGCGGTTTCACCCGCTGCTCAGCTCCTACAGATCACCAGGGCCCTGGTACCCCAGGACCCAAGTTATACCCTTCATAGTATACACTCTGCCAAAGGATTCCCCACCTTGGCAGTTCTCTTGAAAACTGAAGTTCATAATATATCAGTACAACGCAACGTTAAACTAAATAGCGTCGAATTTTGTATTACCCTTAATGAGTTTGTAATCGAGATTTAAAATCGAGTAATCCATTCTAAAATTAACTCGTTTCAAATGGTCATTATGACAATACTATTATAGATTTCTTAAAAACAAGGTAGGACGTAATATGCTACCCTGGGGTACTCCACACAAAAGTTTTATATTAAAACGTTCATTTAAATGTAAATTTTATCTGTAGGTTTCACTGATTTGTTACTAACTATAAAACGATAAATTGTTGTGTTTAGTTATAATTTTTTTAAGAAGTATAGTGCACAAAAGTGTAACAAAAGCTTATTTAAGAAGCATAGTGATATACATAATATTAACACGAGGGGGGAAAACAAATATGTTGTCCCTGCCTCCAGGCTTCAGAAAATAAGTAGTTCGTTTAGATGTCAATGTATACACTTTTACAATAAAAATCCTAGGGATATTCAAAATTTGAGCCTCAATAATTTTAAAAGTGTAATAAAGACTAAACTTTATTGTAAAGCATTTTATAAAATAAAAGACTACTTAGGAGATAGTCAGGCTTGGGAATGAGCCGCTGTAACTTCTGTACAGGTCATGTTGACATGTTTGTAACATAAGTTGCGCTTTTTATATACAATTTGGCATTACGTTTAAGTATTATTATTTTTTAACAATGACATTATCACCTATTGTGACATTTTTATTTGTCATTTTTTATTTTACATTTTTTTAAATTATTTATTGACATTATTATAATTTTATATTATTGTTAGTGTAAGGACCGTGTAAGACTTGCCGCGCTTTTTGACTACCAGTTATCTGCGTTCTGACAGTTTGAGTACTTGCGCGACCCAACCAAATGTTTTTAGATCGGTATTGTTCGTCGGACAACTCAGCAGCACTTGCTATACTGGTTGCAAACTGACACTTGCGTGCCTGTCTTCAGAACGGGTCCACTTAAACTGGTGTGGTTCTTTCATCAAAAGACCACTACAGAATGAACTCGCACGGTTCTCTCACATTATGTTATTTTTACATTGTCTGAACTTGAAAAGAGACTGACCTCTGAGTTTGTTTCGGCATTTCTTCTCAGAGTAGTCAGATAGGAAATGCCGGCTTCATCAAGTTTTTCACATATAAATTGACGTGTAAAAGTGCCGTTTTATGGCCTATTTGCAATACTAAATTCATTGTTTCATTGATTATCTCCTGTATCGTGGGTGCGAATTTCACAGACACATGACACCTAGACCCGGAACAACAATTTGTGGATCACACAAAGAGTTGTTCCGTGCGGGAATCGAACCCGCGACACGTTGCTCGGCAGCTACTTGGCCAGCCACCGCACCAACCGTGCAGTCACTTTTTAGTTAGAAATTATTGACATGATCAAACGCTTTGATAAGGTCGCAAAATCGTATTCATTTGACTACATTGATTTTGTTTTGTAAAAGTGCTGTTTTTAAATAATAACAAAATATTTTATCAACTAATTTATTAATGTCATGGATTTTTTTTTTATTGCTAATGGAAAAAAATATACACGTTATACCTAAGAATATGTACGTTATACACAAATAGAAACAGATTTACAGATATTTAGAAATTAAATTAAACAGAAACAAAAAGAAACAACAATAATACTAATTCGCATTTATTTGCCGAGACGTACATTCCTGATAATATAATTTAAGGTCATCTTTGATTTCCTAAACGATGACGGATCTCAACCAGGACTGGTACGCACTAAGCCTAACGAACATGTCAGGAGCGCCACGAGCGCATGGGAAGCCCCAGGACACGACACCGAACTGCTGGCCGTTGTCAACACGACGGAGAGCACTGCCAGAGTCACCCTGAAATGACATAATTGTTTTCATGTAACTCAGAAACGTTGGTCACTTTGCAATTTAAGCTACGTGTATTGTGATCTACACATACATATGACGATCTCCAGCCACCATAAACATGGCTCTCTGCGGCCCGAAGCAAACCCTAGCGGCGCATAGTGTTCTGCACTCGCCCCAAAAACACCATAGACCTCCACAGACGGGCCCAAATCGCCTATACTCAATCAGGGTTGCGTGACAGCCCCTCTTCCCCCATCCAGTGTGAGAAAGTATTTTGATTATTTTCGCCCAAAAAACTATTGTAGTGAATAAATAGGTGAGAAGATGAATACTCACGTTGCAGGTGCCACGTCCAGGAGAGTGGTAGGTGCAGACCTCAATATGGGGCTCAACATGAGGAGCGTGTCTCATGTTCAGTTCAATGCGCGCTTGAGCTGCGCGAGCCACGCAGTCGTTGCCTTCAATAGTAGTGGTCGTCAACTCCAAGAGCGCTGCCGAGCCAGGACCGCCAGCCTGCAAAACAAAGAAAAATGTAAATCAATAATATCAATGAATAAGGAAAATTAAATAACTATTTCGTATTAGATGGGACATTAGATAAATGTTTTATCCAATTATGTTGGTTTTATTACTGTATAAAATCGTTGGCGTCCGTTTCTCATTCCTAAGATTGCTGGTTCGAGACATGGCAAGTACGAATATGACCTTTTCCGAGTTATACATATTATTCAGACACGACTGACAAATGGCGAAAGAAAACATCGTGGGGAAGCCTGGACTTATTGTTTTCAATTACAAGTTTGAAATCGCCTATCCGCCTTAAGCAAGCGTGGTGATTAATGTTTGCTCCGCAGTATATATATATCTACTATTATAGGATGATGATCATGATGAAATAAATCACACGATGATGTAGATCTTCTTACCCTAATGTTACCCCAACCAGCAACTCTAGCTTGTACTCCTGGTCCAATGAAGTTGTAGGTGATGGGTACAACCTGAACCAGGTTGCTGAGAACCACGTTGGAGGTGGTGATGAGGACACCGATATCGTTCTTGATGATGGAATGCACGTAGTGGGGGTGGGTCACGTTGCGAGCTATGGAGTAAGAGGTTCCGCCACTGTTCCAGCGGTTAGTGCCCACAGTTGCACGGAGAGAACTAAAAAAGAATAACATTCATTTTGAAGAGTCTACCATGAATAACTTGGAGTAAAAAATAAAAAATGAGTTTGGAAGAACTATGCTGCGGACTGTAAGGTTACCAGAGTCTGAATTATTAATTTTTTCCTTTCCCCCATCCCGGATCCTCTAATTTCTAATCGCGTTCATTTCTATCATAACTCCTCTGTTGTTGTAGGTGTCCATGGGCGGTTCTGATTGCTTACCATCAGGTGATCTGTCTACCGATTTATCGCATTATCACATCATAAAACAGATTCCGAATAAACAATTTTTCTTAACTACAACTAAACAATTTTGACGAGTCTCTTACTTGGACAGGGATCCAAAGCTAAACACATGGTTGATACAATGAGCTGCTGTGAGAACAGTGCGCTGAGAGATCAGAGAACCTCCACAGAAGTTGCTCCTTATAAGTGTTCCAGTAGACAGTCCCACCATGTGAGGATGGCTACCTATAGCTGCTTCATTGCCACCGACGATACGCGCGCTAGCGTCGGTGTGGTCGAAGAAAATGGACATGTCATCTTCAGGCGTTGGAAAGGCTAAAGAGAAAAAGATTTAGTTAGTAAAAAATATAATATACTTAATTTAATTTGATAACTTAATTTAATAATTTAATTTAATTCCATAATATAGGTTAATTTTGTTATTTTGTAATATAAGTTAATTTTATTATTTTATAATTTGCTGTGCCCGACAGGGTCCATAATGATCTTAATACTGATACACATAACACCTAATGTAACATTATGAAATGCAACAAACATTTAAATTTGAATAATTATTATTATTTATTACGTTTTCGGCTTACTCACGTAATATTTTGACGAGATACTCGACTGAAGGCAGCGCGACAGTCGCCGCGTCGCATGTCGCGGAATGCTGCTCATGAATATGGGCCTCTAGCATGGCTTGAAACTAGTCGAGTATCTCGTCAAATGATTACGTGAGTAAGCCGAAAACATAATAATTAATTTAGAATGTCTCACGAAAGTTATAATAAAAATTGCCGCGCAGTTAGGGTGATGATTTATAGCATATAACATTCATGGACATTGTAGCAGTGAAAGAATTTTGGAAATCCAACCAGCGTTTCCTATGATTACCCCCTACATACGAATTAACAAACCTATGTACATAAAGTTACACTACTTACCAAGGCTCCCAATCAGAAAGGTGATGAACACCAGGAATCCCGCTTTGTAGTCCATTTTTTACAACGCCCTGATTGAGTGTGATTTGTTCACTGAACATTTCAGATATTTATACCTACTACTAATTACCGAGATAATCATTAATAGTGATTGATAATGTATATTAGTAAATCTGATCAAAAACTCCATTGAAAAACCTGAGGAAAACCCAATATTTGGACTACTTCGAAGACAAACAAAGCTTCTCCGTGTGCAAGTTCTTTGCGTACGATTTGGTATAATGATAGCTAAGCATTGGGTTTTTCATTCGAGTCCGTTATCTATATTACAGAGAGTTGTCGGATGTACATGAATAATATTATCTATTTAATCCATTTACTTTTAATAAAGTAATGCGTGCGTGTGGTCATTTTATACTTATATTTATTAAGCATATATAAATAAGAAATTTAGCAACATTTAATTAACGCATAGGCGTAATTAATGGCAATAGCATTTTTACCCATCAACCTAAGGGTAAATCAGAGAGAATATGGTACATAGGTGCAACAAGAAGAGAACTTGGAGACGTTAAGAGAGATTTTAAGTGTGGGAGAGCCAAGCTTCGGCACGAATGGGTCGGCTCGACCGGAGTGATACCACGGCCTCACAGAAAACCGGCATGAAATAACCACAGCGTTGTGTTTCGCCGTGTGAGTGAGGTTACCGGAGGCCCAATCCTTCCCCTCCCCCAATCCCTCATAAATCCCTAAATCTCCAAATCCCTAATCCCTAAAAGGTCGGCAACGCACTCGTAACTCCTCCGTTGCGAGTGTCCATGGGCGGTGCTGATTGCTTACTATCAGGTAATCCGTCAGCTCGTTTGCCGAACTATTAAAAAAAAAAAAAATACAAAATACAACTTAAATATTTAATAACAAAAACAAAAATCTGTAGTACTATGTTTAATACATATACATGTCCTAAATATATATACTCGATATATAGGTTTAGGTAAATACCTGATTGGAAAATTTTTTGCATACAATTTTAGAGAACTTATGGATAAAAAGACATGCCAAGATTATGAACTTTTAATTAATTACCTCAACTGATAAACCAACGAAAGTCCAACACAAAAATAATTAATTAACTGCCAATTGATGTCCAATCCCTCCCACCTTATAATATAATAATATATATATAATATAATATAATAATATGTATTGGGATAGAACAACACTTCAAACTGTATTGGGATAGAACAACACTTCAAACTGTATTGGGATAGAACAACACTTCAAACTGTATTGGGATAGAACCATTATAACCGATAAAACAGTATACAACAATAGACCAGATATAACATTACTAGACAAACGGAATAAATAAGTTTATATAATAGATATCGCCATATGTAACACACACAACCTTGTCAACACACATTCCGAAAAAATTGCTAAATACACAGATTTATCCATAGAACTAAAAACACAGTGGAATGTTGCCCACACCAAAACTATACCCATAATATTATCCACCACTGGAGTTATCCCAAAAACCCTTCACAATAGTCTCAGCACGTTAAAAATCAGTCCATCCACTTACCTTCTTCTGCAAAAAGCTGTTATATTAAACACATGCCGCCTTACCCGCAAATTTTTAAATAATTAGTTTTAAGATTATGTACTTAATACGCACTTGGCTTCGGCCCGTGCTTCTGTGAACCCTACCAAGATGGGAGAAACATCTTTGAGATCTTTAGGAATAATAATAATAACGCGGCAACACTGACTGTCAACGAGTTGTGAAATTTTTAATACATAATATAATATTTTATACTGTTTATTTTGGACCTTTTTACGTTTTATCGGACTCAAATTTACATATTATGAAAGTTTAAATAAGTAATTAACTATTTGGTACTTACCTAAAAATATAAAATACAAAAATTATAAATAAATTCACGAAAATGACGTATGTGATGACAAATGTCAAGAAGAAAATCTGTATATAAATAAAAACACTACACACTACACAACTAAACAATGTTGACGAGAGCTAAAGCAAGAGCTGCATCACAAAGGACACGCCCGCCATCTCCGACCTCGCCGCCCAGCTCCGCCCCACCATCGTCGGCACCGGATCCAGATACCGGGATACGACCGGCGACCGCAGTGGTGTCAAGTTCCAGCGACGAGTTCTTCTCCCCGCCAACGTCGCCACCACCTCCACGTCGCAGGAGAAAACGTCGGCCACCGAGTAGCTTAGGACCACGAGGCCCATCGGCCTCGGGAGGGGTCCCAGCGCCCGGTGGTAGTGTGTCGCGCATGAAATGGACTACATCCATAAATGAAAACGTTATGCGCGCATACTTTGGGGCAACAGAGGGAGGAAATAACCTGACTGCGTACCGTGTCAGAATGCTTGCTCTGTTTCAGGTGCTCGAACCATCCGTCAACGTATCTGCACAACGATTATCGGATCAGGTACGAGTCATCCAGCGGAATCGAATGTTGGAAGATGTCGTACTTGATCGACTGCGAAGTGAAGTACTAAGGAGCCGCGTCATCATTCCGCCATCACAAACTACAGAAGAGTTACAACCAAACTCTACTGATGTGCCGAATGATGATAGGACTACAGAAGTAAGTACTCACATATGCAGTGATGAATTGAGGAGAACTTTGGAGGGTGCGATTCAGGAATATCGACACGCATATTTGAAACCGCGTTTGCCTCGTTTGCCTATGCATAAAAAGAATAAAGCGATCATGTGCGCTTTGGACTCACAGCTACCAACATATTTGGACAACAGCAAAGATCTCGTTGATACGCACTCAATTCTGTATTGCGCAGCTATAGCGGCTTGTCGTGTGGCAAATGTCAAATTACCAGACAACTACAATAGAGCCACACGACCAAAACCAGCTGTACCTGCTTGGCAGTGCAGGATTGAACGGCGTATTGGCGAGGTCAGAACACTTATTGCCAAATTGATCTGTTTCAGGGAGGGCAACACTCGCCCGAGGATAATGCGATTCGTGAAGAGAGCGTTTTCAGGGACTGCAATTTCGCCTCAGAATTACGCATCGCACATCACGGAGCGTGTTGACTTCCTGAAACAGAAGATTTATGCATGGGCAAACCGCATTCGCCGATACAAAAGACGAGCAGAGCGGTATACCCAGAATCGCGCATTCCAAAGGGATCAAAGGTGGGTGTATAGAAATTGGGAGCAAAAAGAACAGGCTAGGACTGACACGTGCCTACCAGATTTTAGCGCCACGAAGGCATTCTGGCGCAGCATCTGGTCGGCACCTGTTGATCACACCGAGGGTGATTGGATTGAGGAGGTCAAGGGAAAATGCGAACTGATACCACAAATGAACTCTATTAAGATTAGCACCGAAGACGTATCAAATGCAGCCTACCCGTTGGCTAACTGGAAAGCTCCAGGCCCGGACGGGCTGCATAACTTTTGGATTAAATGGTTTATGAGTTCGCATAGTCGCTTGGCGACTCAATTCCAATCAGCGTTGGAGTCTGGGTCTTTGCCCCAATTCTTTACAACAGGACTTACCCACCTGCTCCATAAATCTGGTTGTACCACGGAACCTAAAAATTATAGACCGATAACGTGTCTGCCGACGATTTATAAACTCCTTACATCCATTTTGAGAGCAAAACTTAATAAGCATATTGAAGACAATAATATCATGTCTAGCTCTCAAAATGGTTGTAGAAATGGGTCCCGTGGTACCAAGGAGCTTCTCCTCATTGACATATCCATTTGCCAGCAGGTTCGTAGGTCTCACAAGAATTTGTCTACATGCTGGATAGACTACAAGAAGGCATATGACTCCATTCCACATACGTGGCTCATGAGGGTGTTGGAGTTGTACAACGTCGACCCAACTCTGTGCACCTTCTTGAGGTCATGTATGAATCAGTGGAAAACAGTCCTTCGCTATCCAGGATGTGGACAGATCTTTGAGAGTGACGAACCCATTAAGATAGAGCGTGGTATATTCCAGGGTGACAGTTTGAGTCCGTTATGGTTTTGCTTAGCCCTGAATCCTTTAAGCACTTTGCTGGAAGGCTCAGGGTTAGGATATCGGTTAAGGAGAGGGGGACAAATTGTATCCCATCTACTTTACATGGATGACTTAAAGCTCTTTGCCCCCAACAATTCACATCTAATGAGGTTACTGAATCTGACTGAAATATTCAGTAACGCCATTGGGATGGAATTTGATGTGGACAAATGTGCAGTCATGCATGTAAAGAGAGGGGAGATTGTGGAATCGGATGGAACGCAAATATCTGATTCCACAAACTTCAGGTCCCATTCGCCATCCGATAGCTATAAATACTTGGGTATGTCAGAAGCGTTGGGCATCGATACTGCCGTCATGAAGCAAACGTTGCGGGAACGTTTCTTTGGCCGCCTGAGGAAAGTTCTAAACAGTCTTTTATCGGGCGGTAACAAGGTGCGTGCCTACAACGGTTGGGTCATGCCAGTACTGATGTACTCCTTTGGCATACTCAAGTGGACTCAAACGGAATTAGATACCCTGGATAGAAAAGTCCGTTCATTGCTGACTGAGCATCGGATGCATCACCCACGATCATCGGTAATGAGACTGTACATTCCACGGAAATGTGGAGGAAGAGGCTTTTTAAATGCCAAAGCCCTCCACAACAGTGAAGTGTGCAGTCTCCGAAACTACTTCTTAAAAATGGAAGTGGGGATGCACCAAGATGTTGTCGCTGTGGACAAAGGACTTACTGCGCTCTCCTTAGCTAACGAGAATTGGAGAAAACCTGTAGTACTAAGCACTAAGGACCGTAAGGATGTATGGCAAAGCAAAGAGCTGCACGGACGCTACTATAGGGCTTTACATGGGCCAGAGGTAGACTTCTTAGCGTCCGTATCCTGGCTACGTTTCGGCAACTTATTTGGTGAAACAGAAGGTTTTGTCTGTGCAATTATGGACGAAGTTATGCTGACGAACAATTATCGAAAATATATTATAAAGGATGGTACGGCTGACATCTGTCGGGCATGTCATCGCCCAGGGGAATCCATCCGACATATAATTTCGGGTTGTTCTCACCTAGCTAATGGAGAGTACTTGCATAGACACAACCTCGTGGCCAGGATTATCCACCAGCAACTTGCTTTAAAATACAAACTTGTTGAATCTGAAGTGCCGTACTATAAGTATCTGCCTGACCCAGTTCTCGAGAATGGAGATGTCACACTGTATTGGGATCGAACTATCATCACTGATAGGACAATTGTAGCCAACAAACCTGACATTGTGATGATAGATCGATCTAGCCGTCGCACAATGATAATTGATATAACAATCCCACATGACGAGAATCTTGTGAAAGCTGAAAAAGATAAAGCAAGTAAATATCTTGATTTAGCTCATGAGATTGTCGACATGTGGGATGTAGACTCAGCAATCATTGTGCCGATAGTCGTGTCTGCCAATGGTCTCATGGCTAAAAGCCTTGATAAACACCTAAGCAGGCTTACGTTAGATGGTTGGGTCAAGAATCTGATCCAGAAAGCTGTACTTCTAGACACGGCGCGCATTGTCCGGAGATTCCTTTCTCTGGAACCCTGACCACCGGTTGCTTGGAACCCTCCCGTAACCGGTGGGATACTGCTTTTTATATTTTTAAGTGTTTTTTTTGTTTTATGAAAATATTTAAAAATGTAAAAATCAAGTTTTAAAATAAATAAAAATAATAAGTTTATTTGCATCAACCGGGGATTGTCCTTGGGTGCACTTATATAGTGCATACAGGGATAATTGCCGGCTGATGTCCCATCACATTTAGATTAAAACTGTTCAACGGGCCTCTGCGAGTTGGCTTCGGCTCCTCGTACGCCTTCCAAAGGTCCGGGACCCTGTGGTGCCGTGAAAGGATAGAACAAACAAATAATAAGTTTATTTCAGACTATATACAGTTTATAGTTTTGTTAGTATTCTTTTAAACGTTAGTAACAATAGTGCTTAAGTAAATAGGTTAGTATTATTAGTTTTTGTATGTTAATTAATTACTTATATTGAAGGCTATGGGTTTAGGACAGTGCCGGATTAAGCCAGCGCGGGGCCTGTAGCAAATTCTGTCAAAGGGCCCTTGTTTTGCTATCGGTTCTCAAAAGGGTATTAAACACACACTACTTAAAAGCTACACACACACACACACACACTATTATATTTCAAAGCTACTGCCAAACGTTATACACGTGTAACTTATGGAGCTGTTACACTAAAAAAGAATAGAAAGCTCTGCGCATCCAGTATAGCAACGCGTTCAGTAGTCTGTTGGGGCTCCCATGGCGGTGTAGGGCTTCCGGAATGTTCGTTGAGCACAGCACGGGCGGCTTTCAGGCGGTGCTGCGTAAAAGAACGGCCTCCTTGTGGTCACGCTTAAAGGGTAGCGAAATCCTTGGACAGTGGTCACTCATGCATGTCCAAAGCAATAAACATTTTAAATTTTACTAACATAGTTATAAGTTTTCATCTACTAACAAAAATGGACGTGTATAATCTCTATGTGCATAGTCTGAAATAAATATTTTCAATTTCAATTAAATAAAACAAAACTGTTACAAATAAACTTTTCTGGATTGATTATTCGCGATTACACTTTCAATATCGACTTCTTTAAGCAAGTCATGCTCTATACTTAACAACGTGAGATGATTAAGACGTTCTTGGCCCATAGTGTTCTTTATTCATTTTTAATTTGTTTCAACGTTGAAAAATAACGTTCGCCACTGCAGTTGGTGATCATGAGAGATAAGAAAATACGCAAGGCCATTTCTAAATTTAGGAAACACGATTCTAAAGAATTATTTAATAAAAGTTTATAAAATTGCAGTTCCAGTTCCAGAGGCTCCCGTTTCTTGCTGTCAATTACAGTAGTTACATCTGTTTTCAGCAGCTCTGCGAACTGCACTAATTCGCCGCCTAGGCTGTTCTCCAAATCATCTTCGTAAGGACTGACAATCCTTGACGATTTTTCTAAAATCTCTTCTGTTGTAAGAGATTTTATTTGTTGAAATACTTCAAAAACACTAGTAATTTTATGATATGCTTTCATACGTCCAGTCATAGCAGACAGTACGTTATCAATTATGACAATAAACACCTCAGATACGAAACTTTATCCAGGTGTTTTATTTTCAACAAAGTCGTCGAGTGTATTAGAGCTGCTGAAATGGGCGTACTTTGTATTTCGCTTGATTCGTCGTGATGTCTGTTGCTGGTATTCTTCACAATTAGTCAAATCTTTGGCTCTTGCCTCAATATGTGAAAATGTGGATCGCATTGCTTAGCCATATAACGATTCGTAAAGGGCGTATCCCGTATTAAGGTCTATTAAAGTATCTGACGATTGTAGCGAACTTGTTGTCTTGTCATGTCATGACCTTCTACCAACTTTCATTGATTATTAGCTAACGAGACTAACTCGATCGATGACAATATCAGGGAATTCCCCAAATAGTTTTGCAGTGTTGCCATCTTGTGTTTAGTGCAGTGCAAGTAGTACAACACTTAACTTGTGTGTGGCTAGCGCTCAATTTAAACATGTGGTACAATTTCAAATTATGGTTGTTCATTTTGATCCCAACGTTTTTCGTGATAGATATTATACGTAGGTAGAGGTGGGGCGGAAATAGCCATGCGCGCAGTTCGGGGCGGCCCGGTTCCCCTGCCAATGGCACCAACCGAGCGGACAAATACTCGCTTTCCTTTTCTTACACATACAAAATACCGACTATTTATCGTTTTTCGTTTATTTCGTTAAGAAAAAAAATCAAATTACTTGTAGTTTGGTAGGAGTTTTGTATACAAAACATTTTTCATATGTCTTGCTGTTGAAGTGGAGTAATTACGAAATACCTATTTGAGCGCGGGGCCTCCAATCCGCAGGGCCCGTAGCATTTGCTACTCTTGCTACGTGGCTAATCCGGCACTGGTTTAGGACTGTTCCCACCTAGTGTCTCTGAAAGGGGCAGTCTGGTCTAGCAGCAATCATTTTCAACATAATGTTGTCATTACCATGCAGGCGCTGTAGTAAGGAGGCTGCTTTCTTTCGCATGATGGCGTTGAAACCATCTGTGCGAGCCTCTGCGAACATTCCCGATGCGCTACAGAGCCATGGCAATCCCAACAGCATTCTGAAGGCGTTATTAAACTAAACACGCAGGATACTGTAGGCTCGCCGCGTGTATGACACCCACATGCCGCTCGTGTTAAACGATTGACAGAATGCTTAGAAAAGGGTTACTTTGACGTTAGTAGGTAGTATAGCGAGCGAACCTGCGGGCGAGCGTATTGCTTCGAACAGACCACGCCCTGCGCTCCCTTTCTATATCCGCGTCGTCCCTTAGGTCACTTGTGACGATGTGGCCGAGGTACCTAAAACTATTAACAATTTTTAGTACTACACTGATGAGGCTTATGGGCCGAACACTGCGCGGCTGCTGCTTTATCATCATCATCAGTCGGAAGACGTTTACTGCCGGACAAAGGCCCCCCCTTAAAGAATGCTGCTTTGGCGCTTTAAATACAAGAAGCTCACTCTTCTTCGAACTATATGTATATCAGGCTATGCTCCGCTGCATAGGCCTCGCAGGTGAATAGTTACCTTTTCAACCCACCTATCGACGGACTGAGCAGCACCTTAACTTAAGGAGGACTTAAAAAGCACATGTAATATAAATCCTTATGTAAATAAAGCAAAATGTAAAAACATTAAGTCATTGTCTTTATTTAAAAACTTCAAGTACATACATAATTACATAAATTATCACATTTATCTTACATGTAATCTTATTGTACTTAATTAATAGTACTCGTAGTTATTTTGAAGCCTTTGATAAGACATATTATTATCACGATTATTCTTATCTTTTCTAGTTACTTTGATAACATTTACTGTTTTACCTGACAACCTTAGGTGCGTGTTTCTGGTTTTCTAATTTTCGAGTTATTATTACCATGGCTGTATTTGTTCCTAAACTTTGTCCCCTTAAGGACTACCAAGACCTATTGAAGGGAATCCGGGAGATGGGGGGGGGGGATGGGGGGGGCTCTGATGGAAAGTATAAGTGTGTCAAGACCAAAATCCGAGTGGTTAAAGACGGAGTTCAGATTACTGCACACTCGACATTCATTTTCAACCTACTAGACAAGGAGGTCCTCCTGAATGAAGACCAAGTAGGTCATTATTCCGATCCTTCCTACCAAGATCTGATTTGTGAAAAAATTCCTACCTTCTTTGCTTTTGTGCGGGGCCAGAGTAAACCTGGTCTCGAGCTTGCCTTTACAGCTGAAGCTAAGAGACCAGTTTATTTACCGATCAATCGGTCTGTGGCAGCAGGGGTCATCTTAGCATTTTACAATGGCATGAGAGATCCTGTCGAGAAAATCATGTCAATGTATGGGGCAGATACAGAAGATGCTTCGGATGAGATAAGTAGAATTCTCGTCACATACTACATGTGCTGTCTAAAATATTTAACAGGTGTCGATTTGAATGATGTTGTGGTGGAAGGTTCAAATGAGAACCTCGCGTTCATGATAGATGATCAAACCTGCGTTCCCACTGTTCTCCAAGACAAGTACTTGAGACTTAAGGAAACTGAAATCCCGATACATCAAGGGACAGTAGCTTTTCATGCTGTATATGGGGCTTATGTTCTGTGCCGCCCGGTTGCTAATAAGCAGGAATTCAGACAATGGATTTTGAAAAGATACAATGCTTTTCTATCTTCCATCCATGAAACTACAGAGTTAAATATCCAAATGGATCTCCAAGCAGGAGGTACAAGGGTAAATAATTTGGCTATATCGAGGCCAACTCTAAGGAAAGCTGTGTTCAATATAATTAAGGGCAATTACACTGATATCAGGACAGCTGCCATAAAAAATCACGTAAAAATGTTAACAGCACTTTCAGGAATGACCACATACTCCCTTGTACAGCGTGTCATAGCTACGGGTGGTAGTATCCTTTTCATGAAGCCACTTCCCTCCCAGATCATAAGTTTCATGGCGGAAAAGAAGGAAATAGAAGATTTAATAACTGAGAAAGGTTACAACAAGGATGAAATAATCTTTATTCATCTGTTCATGCCTAATATCCAATGCTTTCGGTCAGCTCAATATGCTGATCTGGTTGTGACAGCTAGTGCCATTGAGGAACACACATATCCGAGTAGCAAGACCCTGGAGAGGTACCGTGCTAAGACAGAAGGGGTAACGATCAACATAAAGCATGTCAAAGCGTTCCTTGCTGCTCAGTCAACGAGCATAAGTTGCTCGATTGATGGGGACACTAAAGAGAAGATGAGGGAACTCTTCGGAGACTCAATGGAGGCGATGCTCGAAGATGCAGAGCGGGTTGTCAAAATCATAAATAGACAGGCACGACTGGAGTCCATCTAAGATCTTCATAAGATCTCACACATCCAACTGAATTCAACAACAAAAGGAACATTGTTAATCTGTGACTAACCTCCCAAGCTATAATTGCAGCAGCATTCTTCGCCTCAAGCTTGATTTCGCAGACTTATGGATGAGGAAAACATCATATCTAGTTTCATTTTAATATAAAATATATTTTTAACAAAAAGGAAATGAAGGTAAAGTTCTGACGATGGTGAAGTGTGAATTTACCGAACAGTTGCATAAAACGTCACACACAATTTTATTTAAGACAATAATTTATAGATACGCTACAATTTCCACTTGGTTGATAACGATAATGGCTAGAGTAGTCTGACATAAAAACATGACAATTTAAAACACGTTTTATATAAACAAAAACATGTTGTATTTGGAGTTTCCATTTGAGAGGGTGGCTGACGAAGATGGTGATGGTAAGTCAATGCTGACACCAGTCGGTGACGCAGTCCCCGCGACACTTGGAGCGCGTCACGTACCCGCGGCGGAGGGCGCGACATCATCTCAGCAGGTCACACACCTTGCTCATACCTTCCATCGACACTCCTTCCAGCTGTAGTAATACTGAGAGCTCGTCATCACCTGTAAACAGCAACAAATACAATAATTTAAACATCAATAGGTAATTTGAAAAGATGAATTATTATTTTTTATTTATTTCATTTATTAATACTGGATCATGGATCAGTAAAAATTAAGTATTGTTTTCTAAGGGCATATTTTTCAATAGTCAGATAAATGTTATCTGTGGAATAAAATTGTTGCAGTCACTGTCTTATACAAAACTTCTGACTCGACAGCATCATAATTATTCCTCAGCTAACTTATATCTAACCATTAAAAAATCAGCCCTAAATCGATCATTTTTTTAATAAATTCATAGATATAATAAATAATGTATTATTTAACTAGTCAAATTCAGTTCTTTTATTTAAATGTCAAGAACGATCCCTTTTCATTAATATTGTTTGAGAATAATCACCATATGACACCATGAAGTATTTAAGTCAAAAAAATGCTTATTATTACAAAATTAAAATTTTGTTTACTGTAAAAACAACTAATCAACGAAAGATTATTTTCGAGATTCTATAGAAAAGTTAAAACAATTTCCGTTTGACAGATCGTCAACAAAACTGAGTGAACTTAAAAAATTACAACTATTTGAAAATTTTGAATAACATATGGATAGCCCGAATTTTATTTTATACCATATTTTACATATTTCCTTTTAAGTCTTAGTTCCTCTTCCATTCTTGTTTGATAAATACTTATAACAATAAGATAGAAATGGGATGTCAATTTAAGACATCAAAATCTTATATATAAAAATGGATCGCAGAATGTGTTGGTAAACGCATAACTCAACAACGACTGGACCAATTTTGTAATTCTGTTTTTGTTGCGTTTGTTATTGTTAGGAGAAGGTTCTTATCAAAGAAAATACTTATTACAAAAGTAAAGGGGAAAATTAGGAAAAGTGACCTTTTTATAGCGAGATAGTTGGACCCGTGCGAAGAGGGGGCGGGCCGCTTGTATTCTAATAAAAACACAGCAAAACAAATACACACCCACGGCATCCTTCATAGCACCTTTGGGCAGATCATGGTACACGAGGAACCCGCTAAGAATCTTCTTAACATCATCATCACATCCGCTGATCTTCCGGCTGCTGGGCAGACCGAGATACTTCCTCAAGAACGGAGCCAGCCTTGACTCCCAACTATCGAATATATTTGATACTTTCTGCTTAATAGCTAGAGTGAATTCATTAGAGATTAGTGGTTCGTTCGTTGCTTCCTGATCGTCAACTTTCATTTCGTTCATCGTTCTTCTGTTGTGATTGTCTATCTGTGATAGTAGCAGTTTAATCTGCCAGATATGGTAGGATGTGGGTTCCGGTTTCATTGTTTTTATTATCTGAAAAGAAAACGTTGCATGCATGCACATTTAAGAAACACTTTTCTTGTTTTTGATACGTAAAAAATACATATATTGGTATAGGTACAATGTTTATGAATAAAAAAATCTAATAGGCTAAAGGAACATTTTTTTTGTAATGGAATAAACAAATTGCAAAAAAAAACTCTTTTGAGTTTAAATCGATTCATTGTTTTACAAAAAAATCGGTTTTACTATACAATAGTATGGAACCAAATAGCATTATTTAGCATTTAAAAATACTGTATATCACCTCTTACAAGAATAATACGGTAGGAAACAGCTGAAACTAGTTTTAAAATTCAATATATCATTTAATTGTATAATTTTAAATTTATGTTGCTTCCGTCCGTACGTCACTGCAAGGGTGCCAACTGAAAACCAGTGTTGGGTTCTTATTGAGCCCAACTTATACTGAGATGGCAACCCTTTTGGCATGGGTATGCTGTTATGTCAAATTTTTTAGTTGTTTAAGCACTTTTTTTTTAAATATTATTTTCCATTTTAAGAAATATTTTAGTTCCTAAACTCAACATTGTTGAAGTATTAGTTTGTTGTTTATTTTTTTTTTATATTTTTGGTACCTTTTTTTATTGTTGTATTATAATTATTTCTTAATATTGTACATAACTTTGCAATATTTTATTTCTTATTGTTCATGCCAAATAAATTATTTTTCTTTCTTTCTTTTCTTTCAATAAAATTTGCAGGCAGACAGTGATTGGGAAAATACGTAGCAAAACTGACCTTCAAAAACGTAGTCCATATAGGTAGGGCACAGAGTATGTCTTTGACGACGCAGTCGTAGGTGAGCATGGCGAGCCCCTGCAGATGGTCGCGCTCGGGGCGCGTGTAGGCGCGGCACGAGCACGGCGCCAGCGCCGCGTCCCGGCCCTTGCGGCGCCGCGACACCACCAGGCAGTCCCCGCAAACGTTGGCCCCAACATCCTTCACCAAATACTGCTTCACGAAGTTCCGTATCTTGTCGTCGTTGGTGAATAGTTCTATGTTCTCCGTGTTCGTGGACCAAATGTTGGACTTGTCGAGTGTGAGCGTTTGCGCCAATATAGTAAGGAAGCCCTGCGGGTCGTCTATGTAGGAGAGGCAGCCGGCGCGCTGCTTTATGTCTATGCACCAAGAGTACTCGAGGAATAATCTAGAAACAAGATTTTAATAATTTTATAATAAAATTTTTGTTAATCTTATACTGATCAAGATTGACAAGTTTTAACAGCTGATTATTTTTTAATTATTTTTTTTTTGAAAACGTTGCCCCATATTAGGATTTTCTCCTGTGTCGTGGGAACGTTTACAAACATACAACTCCACATGCACATCACCGACCCGGAACAACAATTTGTGGATCACACAAAGAGTTGTTCCGTGCGGGAATCGAACCCGCGACACCTTGCACGGCAGCCAGTTGCCCAGCCACCGCACCAACCGCGCAGTGGTGCATGAATTGAACCTAGATGTGTCATAAAAGGGAGAACACAGCGAACAAATCTGACAGAACGGTTCTGCCACATTTGTAAGTAGCTGAGCCAGATAATAGGGCAACAACTATTAAGCTTCATAGAAAACCGGCGTTGTGTTTCGCTACGCAAATGAGGTTAACGGAGGCCATCTCAATCCTACCCCAAACCCTAAATCTCAGAAACCCTAATCGACAACAGCAATTGCAACTAACTCCTCTAGTATGAGAGGTGTACATGGCGCAGATTGCTTACTATCAGGTAATTCATCTGTTCGTTTGCCGACGTATACCACAAAAAAACCCTTTTCTAGAGGATGCGTTAGATGTGTATGAAACAATGAAACAATGAATTTATTTTTGCAAATAGGCCATAAAACGGCACTTTTACACGTCAATTTATATGTGAAAAACTAGATGAAGCCGGCATTTCCTATCTGACTACTCTGAGAAGAAATGCCGAAACAAACTCAGAGGTCAGTCTCTTTTCAAGTCCAGACAATGAAAAAATAACATAATGTGAGAGAATCGTGCAAGTTCATTCTGTAGTGGTCTTTTGAGGAAAGAACCACACCAGTTTAAGTGGACCCGTTCTGAAGACAGGCACGCAAGTGTCAGTTTGCAACCAGTATAGCTAGTGCTGCTGAGTTGTCCGACGAACAATACCGATCTAAAGAACATTTGGGTGGGTCGCGCAAGTACTTAAACTGTCAGAACGCAGATAACTGGTAATCAAAAAGCACGGCAAGTCTCACACGGTCCTTACACTAACAATAATATAAAATAATAAAAATGTCAATAAATAAATAAAAAAATGTCAAATAAAAAATAAAATGTCACAATAGGTGATTATGTCATTGTATAAAAAATAAACGTAATGTCAAATTGTATATAAAAGTGTAACTTATGTTACAAACATGTCAACATGACCTGTGCAGACATTACAGCGGCTCATTCCCATGCCTGACTATCCTCTAAGTAGTCTTTTATTTTATAAAATGCTTTACAGCAAAGTTTAGCCTTTATTACTTTTAAATTTATTGAGGCTCAAATTTTGAATATCGCTAGGAATTTTATTGTAAAAGCGTATACATTGACATCTAAACGAACTAGTTATTTTCTGAAGCCTGGAGGCAGGGACAACATATTTGTTTTTCCCCCTCGTGTTAATATTATGTATATCACTATGCTTCTTAAATAAGCTTTTGTTTTTATGAGCGTGAATTACATTTTCATAAATATATTGTGAGGCAACCGTCATTATCTTAGTTTCCTTAAATAATTCTCTGAGCGAATGCCTCGGACTAAAATTATAGATTGATCGAATAGCCCTTTTCTGCAGAACAAAAATAGACTGAATGTCAGCAGCATTCCCCCACAACAAAATACCGTATGACATGATGCTGTGGAAATAACTAAAATAAACTAACCGCGCTGTATCTACATCTGTTAAATTTCCAATTTTTTTAACGGCATATGCTGCAGAACTGAGCTTCTTCGACAAGCCATCTATATGAGGGCCCCACTGGAGCTTAGCGTCCAGGGTTATACCTAAAAAGACAGTTGTATCTACAGGACTCAACTCCTCGCCCTTGACAAGCACACTGGTTTTTACCTGTTTAACATTTGGTGTTGTGAATTTAATACATTTAGTTTTAGTTTCGTTTAGTAATAAGTTATTAACACCAAACCAGTGAATTATTTCTGAGAGAGCACTGTTTACATTGTCAATAACTAATTGTCGTCGTCTGAGTTTGAATAATAGTGAGGTATCATCAGCAAACAGCACTATCTCGTGTTTATCCCTTACAAGGTAAGGCAAGTCATTAATATAGATAATAAATAAAAACGGGCCGAGAATAGAACCCTGCGGAACACCCATCTTCACAACAGACCCGGCAGAAACCACTCCGTTTACTTCAACTCTCTGAACCCTATTACTCAGGTATGAGGTAAGAAGGTCCAGAGATGCACCTCTTATTCCGTAATGGGATAGCTTCCTGATCAGTGTATCATGAAGCACACAATCGAACGCCTTGGATAAATCACAAAATATTCCCAAAGCGTCGCTTGAGTCCTCCCACGCGTCGTAAATGTGATTAAGAAGTTCAACACCGGCATCAGTTGTTGAACGACCCCTTGTAAATCCGAACTGTTTCGCATGTAATAATTTATTTCTATTAAAAAATCTTTGCATTTGATCTAAAATAATTTTTTCAAAAATTTTACTGAACGTAGGTAGCACTGAAATAGGTCTAAAGTTAGTGGGGTCAGAAGTACTACCTGATTTAAATAATGGAATTATTTTACTACATTTCATAAGATCAGGAAACACACCACAGTCAATACAGTTAATACAGTTATTAAAGATTTGATACAGTTATTAAAGATTTGTATCGTCGGGAACCGAGAGATGATCTCCGGCCACCGTAAGCGCGGGTCTGCGGTCGGCGAGTAAGGGCAGCTCGCCGCCCGACCAGAACCAGGCCCGAGCGTACGGCGCGTAGCGTTCCGCGCGCGCCTCAAAGAGCCATTAGACCACCACAGGCGGGGCCCTATAGGGCTGATGTTCAGTCGGGGTTGCGGGGTAAGCGCAATGAGGTACCGCGACCTCGGCCCAGAGCAGGAGAAGGAACAGGGGGGTTTTTATTCAGTAAGAGTCTGACACTCCCTCCTGCCCGGCCCTGGGCGGGAGAAGTCATTTTATGGTTTTTGCCCTCACAAAAAAAGATGTGTATCGTGGGTAGTTAATGTACAATTTAATGCAATATAAACTCACTTGAGTTGGTCCCAATTCCTGTCCCTTTGGAATGTGATGGGCCAGTACCGGGGGTCGTTGATCTTCACCTCCTTTAGGGTGCTCAGCTCAGGGATGATGCAGGGCGCCTTCATCTCTTTCACTGCGTCGTTTAGATCTATTACCTGTATAAGAGAATAATTTTAATATAATAGAAATTAGTATCGGATAACCTGACATTAAGCGCGCCCCCCATGTACACCTCTCACACTAGAGAAATTAGTTGCAAGTGCGTTGCTGCCTATTTTCGATTAGGGTTTCTGAGATTTAGGGATTAGGGTAGGATTGGGATGGCCTCCGTTAACCTCACTCACACGGCAAAACACAACGCTGTGGTTGTTTCACGTCGGTATTCTATGAGGCCGTGGTATCACTCCGGTCGAGCCGACCCATTCGTGCCGAAGCTTGGCTCTCCCACACTTGAAAAATTTCTCTTGAATTTCTTAAAAATGTGTGTATGTTGAGTTTATTAATATGATTATTTTTAAGTATAACTATGGTTTGTAAAAGTTGTAAAAATTTCTTTTTTAACTTAAGAAACCACCCAATTAAGAAGATGACAGTCACGGAAGACTACATGGGTTGCGCAGTGGCTGGCCAATTGGCTGGCAAGCAACCCTGTCGTGAGCGAGCCGATTCCCACACGGAACAAGTTTGTGTGAACCACAAATTGCAGTTCCGGGGCTGGGTGGGATTTGTATGTTTGTAAACGCATCCACGACAAAGGAGAATCTCGTAGTGTGAGGGAATGTTAAAAAAAATGTTGTATATTAATGCAGAGCAGATAATGGCTATCCATAACAAAGAATTTATTGTAACTGTGTTACATGTTTAGATTGTTTGTTATTTCACAATATGCTAAAGACAGAAGAAAATAGAAGAAAAGGTTTTTAGTCAGTAAGAGTCTGACACGTTTAAGTGTGCGAGAGCCATGCTTCGGCACGAATAGGTCGGCTCGACCGGAGTGATACCACGGCCTTACAGAAAACCGGCGTAAAACAACCACAGCGTTGTGTTTCGCCGTGTGAGTGAGGTTACCGGAGGCCCAATCCTTCCCCTTCCCCAATCCCTCCCCAGTCCCTAAATCTCCAAATCCGTAATCCCTAAAAGGTCGGCAACGCACTCGTAACTCATCCGTTGCGGGTGTCTGGGGGTGCAGGTAATCTGTCTCCTTGTTTCCCGACCTATTACATAAAAAAAAACACTTCCTCTCGCCCCATCCAGAGGAGGAGAAAAAGGTAGACTTACCTGTATATGTGCGTAACAAAGCTTCTCAGTGCTGATATCTCGAGGCAGTATCAGCCTGGCCTCCACTGCCAATACGTAAAGGTGTCTGAAGGCTTGCAAGTGGTACCTGGTCAAGATAAATTATATTTAAAATGGTGATTTTTGGTTACCAATGAGGACAAATAATGTGACGGATATAATAATGTATATGTGAGTATTTTCCAATATATACGAAGGCACCGGGGGTTGGTACAAACATCAACATCCCGATCATCGTCTCCACGGTCCATCGCAAGGAGCAGGATTTTATAATCAGACCGAATAAACTACAAAAATAACGGACGTCGGCGATCCGTCTCATCCCAGTCACTGCGCTCGCTTTCCACCATAATGCGCACGCAGACCTGTCCCTTTGACGTTGTGCCAGAATATGATTCGTTGCAATCTCGTCCGATAAATTGTATTAGCTGATAAAAACTCCTTCAAACAACCAACATTAAAAAATGTAAATATAAATATAGTTTTAGAATGCAAAAGTAAAATGTTAGTTAGATTATTGGTTAATATAAGACCGTAAAGTTATGAACGCAATCATTGAAGATGATGAAGATAAGGTGGACCCAAAACAAACTGGGAGAAGTCATATAAGTATTAATTACTGGAACTTAAAAATCCTTATTATTAATTACTGGAACCATGGGATCCAGTATTAATTACTGGAACTAAAAAATCCCTATTATTAATCACTGGAACCATGGAATCCAGTATTAATTACTGGAATTTAAAAATCCTTATTATTAATTACTGGAACCATGGAATCCAGTATTAATTACTGGAACTTAAAAATCCTTATTATTATTTACTGGAACTTAAAAATCCTTATTATTATTTACTGGAACCATGGAATCCAGTATTAATTACTGGAACTTAAAAATCCTTATTATTATTTACTGGAACCATGGAATCCAGTATTAATTACTGGAACTTAAAAATCCTTATTATTATTTACTGGAACCATGGAATCCAGTATTAATTACTGGAACTTAAAAATCCTTATTATTATTTACTGGAACCATGGAATCCAGTATTAATTACTGGAACTTAAAAATCCTTATTATTATTTACTGGAACCATGGAATCCAGTATTAATTACTGGAACTTAAAAATCCTTAGTTTACAAATTTCTGTTTGCTCTGCGCCAAGAATCAAATGAGAAAAATTATATGACTTCTCCCAGTTTCTTTCTATTAATCATACATCGCTTCTAGTGATCAGTTTCAATCTATACTACTATTATAAAGAAGTGAAATTTGTAAGTTTGTATGTAGGGGGTAATCTTTGGAACCGCTGTTCGGATTTCCAAAATTCTTTCACTGATAGATAGCTGCAAGGTTAGGCTACGTGTTAATGGAGCCGAGTAGCGGGTGAAACCGCGGGAGAGTAGCTAGTATCTGTAGATTTATATACTAAAGATTGAATTTTAAATTTAAGGTATTGTTTCTTTACGCCGGTTTTTCGGTGTTTTTTTTTTACTTGATATAAACTAGTTGTTGTCGTGGTATCACTCTATTTTTGTCGAAGCAGGGATCTTCCACACTTCCGTTACACTTATAAAACATAACCAAAATTCTGTTTCTATGAAGCAAATGTGAATTTGTGTGAGTGACACAAAACACATATAAAAAAATAACTTTGTTGAAGTATACCTATTATCTTCGCTGTGTGTCGGGAACTTTGGGAAGAAGGCAGCGAGTAGCGCGGCTACTGCGGTGGGTGTGGTACTCAGTGTTGCTCTTCCTCCACCCAGGAACAGAAGGCCTATTGTACAGTGCACTGCCATCTAAGAATGGAAATACATTGTATAGTAAATGTCACAATATCCTCCAAAAATTGAGCAAAAATTCTCACATGGAAAAGGTATGAGCATTAAATTCCACTAGCTTCCGATGGCGTGAAAAAGTAGGCACTTTTATTCCGGAATGTATCGTGTGCCTGTGCCAAATTTCCTTCAGATATGTCCAGCTGTTTTCACGTGTATGGGTAACAAACATCCAAACATTGTAATTTTCGCATTAATAATATTTTAGTAAGATGCTTCTCTAAGGCGGATCGGTGAATAAACCTTCAAGATTTTGTACGATATCCTGAAGAAAGGTTTGCAAGGTTTCCAACTTGTACGATACCTGTCCGCCGTGTGTGAGGGGCGCGGCGGCGGGGGGCGCGGCGGCCGCGTCAGTATGTGTGTGTGTACCTGTCCGCCGTGTGTGAGGGGCGCGGCGGCGGGGGGCGCGGCGGCCGCGTCAGTATGTGTGTGTGTACCTGTCCGCCGTGTGTGAGGGGCGCGGCGGCGGGGGGCGCGGCGGCCGCGTCAGTATGTGTGTGTGTACCTGTCCGCCGTGTGTGAGGGGCGCGGCGGCGGGGGGCGCGGCGGCCGCGTCAGTATGTGTGTGTGTACCTGTCCGCCGTGTGTGAGGGGCGCGGCGGCGGGGGGCGCGGCGGCCGCGTCAGTATGTGTGTGTGTACCTGTCCGCCGTGTGTGAGGGGCGCGGCGGCGGGGGGCGCGGCGGCCGCGTCAGTATGTGTGTGTGTACCTGTCCGCCGTGTGTGAGGGGCGCGGCGGCGGGGGGCGCGGCGGCCGCGTCAGTATGTGTGTGTGTACCTGTCCGCCGTGTGTGAGCGGCGCGGCGGCCGCGTCAGTATGTGTGTGTGTACCTGTCCGCCGTGTGTGAGCGGCGCGGCGGCGGGGGGCGCGGCGGCCGCGTCAGTATGTGTGTGTGTACCTGTCCGCCGTGTGTGAGCGGCGCGGCGGCCGCGTCAGTATGTGTGTGTGTACCTGTCCGCCGTGTGTGAGGGGCGCGGCGGCGGGGGGCGCGGCGGCCGCGTCAGTATGTGTGTGTGTACCTGTCCGCCGTGTGTGAGCGGCGCGGCGGCCGCGTCAGTATGTGTGTGTGTACCTGTCCGCCGTGTGTGAGGGGCGCGGCGGCCGCGTCAGTATGTGTGTGTGTACCTGTCCGCCGTGTGTGAGGGGCGCGGCGGCGGGGGGCGCGGCGGCCGCGTCAGTATGTGTGTGTGTACCTGTCCGCCGTGTGTGAGCGGCGCGGCGGCGGGGGGCGCGGCGGCCGCGTCAGTATGTGTGTGTGTACCTGTCCGCCGTGTGTGAGGGGCGCGGCGGCGGGGGGCGCGGCGGCCGCGTCAGTATGTGTGTGTGTACCTGTCCGCCGTGTGTGAGCGGCGCGGCGGCGGGGGGCGCGGCGGCCGCGTCAGTATGTGTGTGTGTACCTGTCCGCCGTGTGTGAGCGGCGCGGCGGCCGCGTCAGTATGTGTGTGTGTACCTGTCCGCCGTGTGTGAGGGGCGCGGCGGCGGGGGGCGCGGCGGCCGCGTCAGTATGTGTGTGTGTACCTGTCCGCCGTGTGTGAGGGGCGCGGCGGCGGGGGGCGCGGCGGCCGCGTCAGTATGTGTGTGTGTACCTGTCCGCCGTGTGTGAGCGGCGCGGCGGCCGCGTCAGTATGTGTGTGTGTACCTGTCCGCCGTGTGTGAGGGGCGCGGCGGCGGGGGGCGCGGCGGCCGCGTCAGTATGTGTGTGTGTACCTGTCCGCCGTGTGTGAGGGGCGCGGCGGCGGGGGGCGCGGCGGCCGCGTCAGTATGTGTGTGTGTACCTGTCCGCCGTGTGTGAGGGGCGCGGCGGCGGGGGGCGCGGCGGCCGCGTCAGTATGTGTGTGTGTACCTGTCCGCCGTGTGTGAGCGGCGCGGCGGCGGGGGGCGCGGCGGCCGCGTCAGTATGTGTGTGTGTACCTGTCCGCCGTGTGTGAGCGGCGCGGCGGCCGCGTCAGTATGTGTGTGTGTACCTGGCCGCCGTGTGTGAGGGGCGCGGCGGCGGGGGGCGCGGCGGCCGCGTCAGTATGTGTGTGTGTACCTGTCCGCCGTGTGTGAGCGGCGCGGCGGCCGCGTCAGTATGTGTGTGTGTACCTGTCCGCCGTGTGTGAGGGGCGCGGCGGCGGGGGGCGCGGCGGCCGCGTCAGTATGTGTGTGTGTACCTGTCCGCCGTGTGTGAGGGGCGCGGCGGCGGGGGGCGCGGCGGCCGCGTCAGTATGTGTGTGTGTACCTGTCCGCCGTGTGTGAGCGGCGCGGCGGCGGGGGGCGCGGCGGCCGCGTCAGTATGTGTGTGTGTACCTGTCCGCCGTGTGTGAGGGGCGCGGCGGCGGGGGGCGCGGCGGCCGCGTCATTATGTGTGTGTGTACCTGTCCGCCGTGTGTGAGGGGCGCGGCGGCGGGGGGCGCGGCGGCCGCGTCAGTATGTGTGTGTGTACCTGTCCGCCGTGTGTGAGGGGCGCGGCGGCGGGGGGCGCGGCGGCCGCGTCAGTATGTGTGTGTGTACCTGTCCGCCGTGTGTGAGGGGCGCGGCGGCGGGGGGCGCGGCGGCCGCGTCAGTATGTGTGTGTGTACCTGTCCGCCGTGTGTGAGGGGCGCGGCGGCGGGGGGCGCGGCGGCCGCGTCAGTATGTGTGTGTGTACCTGTCCGCCGTGTGTGAGCGGCGCGGCGGCCGCGTCAGTATGTGTGTGTGTACCTGTCCGCCGTGTGTGAGGGGCGCGGCGGCGGGGGGCGCGGCGGCCGCGTCAGTATGTGTGTGTGTACCTGTCCGCCGTGTGTGAGGGGCGCGGCGGCGGGGGGCGCGGCGGCCGCGTCAGTATGTGTGTGTGTACCTGTCCGCCGTGTGTGAGCGGCGCGGCGGCGGGGGGCGCGGCGGCCGCGTCAGTATGTGTGTGTGTACCTGTCCGCCGTGTGTGAGGGGCGCGGCGGCGGGGGGCGCGGCGGCCGCGTCATTATGTGTGTGTGTACCTGTCCGCCGTGTGTGAGGGGCGCGGCGGCGGGGGGCGCGGCGGCCGCGTCAGTATGTGTGTGTGTACCTGTCCGCCGTGTGTGAGGGGCGCGGCGGCGGGGGGCGCGGCGGCCGCGTCAGTATGTGTGTGTGTACCTGTCCGCCGTGTGTGAGGGGCGCGGCGGCGGGGGGCGCGGCGGCCGCGTCAGTATGTGTGTGTGTACCTGTCCGCCGTGTGTGAGGGGCGCGGCGGCGGGGGGCGCGGCGGCCGCGTCAGTATGTGTGTGTGTACCTGTCCGCCGTGTGTGAGGGGCGCGGCGGCGGGGGGCGCGGCGGCCGCGTCAGTATGTGTGTGTGTACCTGTCCGCCGTGTGTGAGGGGCGCGGCGGCGGGGGGCGCGGCGGCCGCGTCAGTATGTGTGTGTGTACCTGTCCGCCGTGTGTGAGGGGCGCGGCGGCGGGGGGCGCGGCGGCCGCGTCAGTATGTGTGTGTGTACCTGTCCGCCGTGTGTGAGGGGCGCGGCGGCGGGGGGCGCGGCGGCCGCGTCAGTATGTGTGTGTGTACCTGTCCGCCGTGTGTGAGGGGCGCGGCGGCGGGGGGCGCGGCGGCCGCGTCAGTATGTGTGTGTGTACCTGTCCGCCGTGTGTGAGGGGCGCGGCGGCGGGGGGCGCGGCGGCCGCGTCAGTATGTGTGTGTGTACCTGTCCGCCGTGTGTGAGGGGCGCGGCGGCGGGGGGCGCGGCGGCCGCGTCAGTATGTGTGTGTGTACCTGTCCGCCGTGTGTGAGCGGCGCGGCGGCGGGGGGCGCGGCGGCCGCGTCAGTATGTGTGTGTGTACCTGTCCGCCGTGTGTGAGCGGCGCGGCGGCGGGGGGCGCGGCGGCCGCGTCAGTATGTGTGTGTGTACCTGTCCGCCGTGTGTGAGCGGCGCGGCGGCGGGGGGGCGCGGCGGCCGCGTCAGTATGTGTGTGTGTACCTGTCCGCCGTGTGTGAGGGGCGCGGCGGCGGGGGGCGCGGCGGCCGCGTCAGTATGTGTGTGTGTACCTGTCCGCCGTGTGTGAGGGGCGCGGCGGCGGGGGGCGCGGCGGCCGCGTCAGTATGTGTGTGTGTACCTGTCCGCCGTGTGTGAGCGGCGCGGCGGCGGGGGGCGCGGCGGCCGCGTCAGTATGTGTGTGTGTACCTGTCCGCCGTGTGTGAGCGGCGCGGCGGCGGGGGGCGCGGCGGCCGCGTCAGTATGTGTGTGTGTACCTGTCCGCCGTGTGTGAGCGGCGCGGCGGCGGGGGGCGCGGCGGCCGCGTCAGTATGTGTGTGTGTACCTGTCCGCCGTGTGTGAGCGGCGCGGCGGCGGGGGGCGCGGCGGCCGCGTCAGTATGTGTGTGTGTACCTGTCCGCCGTGTGTGAGCGGCGCGGCGGCGGGGGGCGCGGCGGCCGCGTCAGTATGTGTGTGTGTACCTGTCCGCCGTGTGTGAGCGGCGCGGCGGCGGGGGGCGCGGCGGCCGCGTCAGTATGTGTGTGTGTACCTGTCCGCCGTGTGTGAGGGGCGCGGCGGCGGGGGGCGCGGCGGCCGCGTCAGTATGTGTGTGTGTACCTGTCCGCCGTGTGTGAGCGGCGCGGCGGCGGGGGGCGCGGCGGCCGCGTCAGTATGTGTGTGTGTACCTGTCCGCCGTGTGTGAGCGGCGCGGCGGCGGGGGGCGCGGCGGCCGCGTCAGTATGTGTGTGTGTACCTGTCCGCCGTGTGTGAGGGGCGCGGCGGCGGGGGGCGCGGCGGCCGCGTCAGTATGTGTGTGTGTACCTGTCCGCCGTGTGTGAGGGGCGCGGCGGCGGGGGGCGCGGCGGCCGCGTCAGTATGTGTGTGTGTACCTGTCCGCCGTGTGTGAGCGGCGCGGCGGCGGGGGGCGCGGCGGCCGCGTCAGTATGTGTGTGTGTACCTGTCCGCCGTGTGTGAGCGGCGCGGCGGCGGGGGGCGCGGCGGCCGCGTCAGTATGTGTGTGTGTACCTGTCCGCCGTGTGTGAGCGGCGCGGCGGCGGGGGGCGCGGCGGCCGCGTCAGTATGTGTGTGTGTACCTGTCCGCCGTGTGTGAGCGGCGCGGCGGCGGGGGGCGCGGCGGCCGCGTCAGTATGTGTGTGTGTACCTGTCCGCCGTGTGTGAGCGGCGCGGCGGCGGGGGGCGCGGCGGCCGCGTCAGTATGTGTGTGTGTACCTGTCCGCCGTGTGTGAGGGGCGCGGCGGCGGGGGGCGCGGCGGCCGCGTCAGTATGTGTGTGTGTACCTGTCCGCCGTGTGTGAGCGGCGCGGCGGCGGGGGGCGCGGCGGCCGCGTCAGTATGTGTGTGTGTACCTGTCCGCCGTGTGTGAGCGGCGCGGCGGCGGGGGGCGCGGCGGCCGCGTCAGTATGTGTGTGTGTACCTGTCCGCCGTGTGTGAGCGGCGCGGCGGCCGCGTCAGTATGTGTGTGTGTACCTGTCCGCCGTGTGTGAGGGGCGCGGCGGCGGGGGGCGCGGCGGCCGCGTCAGTATGTGTGTGTGTACCTGTCCGCCGTGTGTGAGGGGCGCGGCGGCGGGGGGCGCGGCGGCCGCGTCAGTATGTGTGTGTGTACCTGTCCGCCGTGTGTGAGCGGCGCGGCGGCGGGGGGGCGCGGCGGCCGCGTCAGTATGTGTGTGTGTACCTGTCCGCCGTGTGTGAGCGGCGCGGCGGCGGGGGGCGCGGCGGCCGCGTCAGTATGTGTGTGTGTACCTGTCCGCCGTGTGTGAGGGGCGCGGCGGCGGGGGGCGCGGCGGCCGCGTCAGTATGTGTGTGTGTACCTGTCCGCCGTGTGTGAGCGGCGCGGCGGCGGGGGGCGCGGCGGCCGCGTCAGTATGTGTGTGTGTACCTGTCCGCCGTGTGTGAGCGGCGCGGCGGCGGGGGGCGCGGCGGCCGCGTCAGTATGTGTGTGTGTACCTGTCCGCCGTGTGTGAGCGGCGCGGCGGCGGGGGGCGCGGCGGCCGCGTCAGTATGTGTGTGTGTACCTGTCCGCCGTGTGTGAGCGGCGCGGCGGCGGGGGGCGCGGCGGCCGCGTCAGTATGTGTGTGTGTACCTGTCCGCCGTGTGTGAGCGGCGCGGCGGCGGGGGGCGCGGCGGCCGCGTCAGTATGTGTGTGTGTACCTGTCCGCCGTGTGTGAGCGGCGCGGCGGCGGGGGGCGCGGCGGCCGCGTCAGTATGTGTGTGTGTACCTGTCCGCCGTGTGTGAGGGGCGCGGCGGCGGGGGGCGCGGCGGCCGCGTCAGTATGTGTGTGTGTACCTGTCCGCCGTGTGTGAGCGGCGCGGCGGCGGGGGGCGCGGCGGCCGCGTCAGTATGTGTGTGTGTACCTGTCCGCCGTGTGTGAGCGGCGCGGCGGCGGGGGGCGCGGCGGCCGCGTCAGTATGTGTGTGTGTACCTGTCCGCCGTGTGTGAGGGGCGCGGCGGCGGGGGGCGCGGCGGCCGCGTCAGTATGTGTGTGTGTACCTGTCCGCCGTGTGTGAGGGGCGCGGCGGCGGGGGGCGCGGCGGCCGCGTCAGTATGTGTGTGTGTACCTGTCCGCCGTGTGTGAGCGGCGCGGCGGCGGGGGGCGCGGCGGCCGCGTCAGTATGTGTGTGTGTACCTGTCCGCCGTGTGTGAGCGGCGCGGCGGCGGGGGGCGCGGCGGCCGCGTCAGTATGTGTGTGTGTACCTGTCCGCCGTGTGTGAGCGGCGCGGCGGCGGGGGGCGCGGCGGCCGCGTCAGTATGTGTGTGTGTACCTGTCCGCCGTGTGTGAGCGGCGCGGCGGCGGGGGGGCGCGGCGGCCGCGTCAGTATGTGTGTGTGTACCTGTCCGCCGTGTGTGAGCGGCGCGGCGGCGGGGGGCGCGGCGGCCGCGTCAGTATGTGTGTGTGTACCTGTCCGCCGTGTGTGAGGGGCGCGGCGGCGGGGGGCGCGGCGGCCGCGTCAGTATGTGTGTGTGTACCTGTCCGCCGTGTGTGAGCGGCGCGGCGGCGGGGGGCGCGGCGGCCGCGTCAGTATGTGTGTGTGTACCTGTCCGCCGTGTGTGAGCGGCGCGGCGGCGGGGGGCGCGGCGGCCGCGTCAGTATGTGTGTGTGTACCTGTCCGCCGTGTGTGAGCGGCGCGGCGGCCGCGTCAGTATGTGTGTGTGTACCTGTCCGCCGTGTGTGAGGGGCGCGGCGGCGGGGGGCGCGGCGGCCGCGTCAGTATGTGTGTGTGTACCTGTCCGCCGTGTGTGAGGGGCGCGGCGGCGGGGGGCGCGGCGGCCGCGTCAGTATGTGTGTGTGTACCTGTCCGCCGTGTGTGAGCGGCGCGGCGGCGGGGGGCGCGGCGGCCGCGTCAGTATGTGTGTGTGTACCTGTCCGCCGTGTGTGAGGGGCGCGGCGGCGGGGGGCGCGGCGGCCGCGTCATTATGTGTGTGTGTACCTGTCCGCCGTGTGTGAGGGGCGCGGCGGCGGGGGGCGCGGCGGCCGCGTCAGTATGTGTGTGTGTACCTGTCCGCCGTGTGTGAGGGGCGCGGCGGCGGGGGGCGCGGCGGCCGCGTCAGTATGTGTGTGTGTACCTGTCCGCCGTGTGTGAGGGGCGCGGCGGCGGGGGGCGCGGCGGCCGCGTCAGTATGTGTGTGTGTACCTGTCCGCCGTGTGTGAGGGGCGCGGCGGCGGGGGGCGCGGCGGCCGCGTCAGTATGTGTGTGTGTACCTGTCCGCCGTGTGTGAGGGGCGCGGCGGCGGGGGGCGCGGCGGCCGCGTCAGTATGTGTGTGTGTACCTGTCCGCCGTGTGTGAGGGGCGCGGCGGCGGGGGGCGCGGCGGCCGCGTCAGTATGTGTGTGTGTACCTGTCCGCCGTGTGTGAGGGGCGCGGCGGCGGGGGGCGCGGCGGCCGCGTCAGTATGTGTGTGTGTACCTGTCCGCCGTGTGTGAGGGGCGCGGCGGCGGGGGGCGCGGCGGCCGCGTCAGTATGTGTGTGTGTACCTGTCCGCCGTGTGTGAGGGGCGCGGCGGCGGGGGGCGCGGCGGCCGCGTCAGTATGTGTGTGTGTACCTGTCCGCCGTGTGTGAGGGGCGCGGCGGCGGGGGGCGCGGCGGCCGCGTCAGTATGTGTGTGTGTACCTGTCCGCCGTGTGTGAGGGGCGCGGCGGCGGGGGGCGCGGCGGCCGCGTCAGTATGTGTGTGTGTACCTGTCCGCCGTGTGTGAGCGGCGCGGCGGCGGGGGGCGCGGCGGCCGCGTCAGTATGTGTGTGTGTACCTGTCCGCCGTGTGTGAGCGGCGCGGCGGCGGGGGGCGCGGCGGCCGCGTCAGTATGTGTGTGTGTACCTGTCCGCCGTGTGTGAGCGGCGCGGCGGCGGGGGGCGCGGCGGCCGCGTCAGTATGTGTGTGTGTACCTGTCCGCCGTGTGTGAGGGGCGCGGCGGCGGGGGGCGCGGCGGCCGCGTCAGTATGTGTGTGTGTACCTGTCCGCCGTGTGTGAGGGGCGCGGCGGCGGGGGGCGCGGCGGCCGCGTCAGTATGTGTGTGTGTACCTGTCCGCCGTGTGTGAGCGGCGCGGCGGCGGGGGGCGCGGCGGCCGCGTCAGTATGTGTGTGTGTACCTGTCCGCCGTGTGTGAGCGGCGCGGCGGCGGGGGGCGCGGCGGCCGCGTCAGTATGTGTGTGTGTACCTGTCCGCCGTGTGTGAGCGGCGCGGCGGCGGGGGGCGCGGCGGCCGCGTCAGTATGTGTGTGTGTACCTGTCCGCCGTGTGTGAGCGGCGCGGCGGCGGGGGGCGCGGCGGCCGCGTCAGTATGTGTGTGTGTACCTGTCCGCCGTGTGTGAGCGGCGCGGCGGCGGGGGGCGCGGCGGCCGCGTCAGTATGTGTGTGTGTACCTGTCCGCCGTGTGTGAGCGGCGCGGCGGCGGGGGGCGCGGCGGCCGCGTCAGTATGTGTGTGTGTACCTGTCCGCCGTGTGTGAGGGGCGCGGCGGCGGGGGGCGCGGCGGCCGCGTCAGTATGTGTGTGTGTACCTGTCCGCCGTGTGTGAGCGGCGCGGCGGCGGGGGGCGCGGCGGCCGCGTCAGTATGTGTGTGTGTACCTGTCCGCCGTGTGTGAGCGGCGCGGCGGCGGGGGGCGCGGCGGCCGCGTCAGTATGTGTGTGTGTACCTGTCCGCCGTGTGTGAGGGGCGCGGCGGCGGGGGGCGCGGCGGCCGCGTCAGTATGTGTGTGTGTACCTGTCCGCCGTGTGTGAGGGGCGCGGCGGCGGGGGGCGCGGCGGCCGCGTCAGTATGTGTGTGTGTACCTGTCCGCCGTGTGTGAGCGGCGCGGCGGCGGGGGGCGCGGCGGCCGCGTCAGTATGTGTGTGTGTACCTGTCCGCCGTGTGTGAGCGGCGCGGCGGCGGGGGGCGCGGCGGCCGCGTCAGTATGTGTGTGTGTACCTGTCCGCCGTGTGTGAGCGGCGCGGCGGCGGGGGGCGCGGCGGCCGCGTCAGTATGTGTGTGTGTACCTGTCCGCCGTGTGTGAGCGGCGCGGCGGCGGGGGGCGCGGCGGCCGCGTCAGTATGTGTGTGTGTACCTGTCCGCCGTGTGTGAGCGGCGCGGCGGCGGGGGGCGCGGCGGCCGCGTCAGTATGTGTGTGTGTACCTGTCCGCCGTGTGTGAGCGGCGCGGCGGCGGGGGGCGCGGCGGCGGGGGTGCGCGCGCGCAGCCGACGACACACGCGTAGTGTTGGGATGTCGCCGCGACCGCACATTATCTGCAAGGTTACATCCATTATTTCATCGTCAATGCAAACAATATTACTGTCCTGGTGCAATATGTTGAGAATTCGATTCCCGTGAGGAACAATAATTCTTTACGTGATCAAAAAATTGTTGTTTCCGGTAGGCTGTGATGACATTTCTTTTTTAATTTTATTTCTGTAAGCTAACTTGGGGGCAATATGTTTAAAAAAGACATTTTGAAATCCACGACAAGTTGAAGTTCATACGATGTCAACTAAACACACATTGTTTTGACAAAACTTTCAATGAATGACATTTAACGATTTCTTTTTTTATAAAAACTCACCCATATCAGAAAGCAACTATTTGCGGATCACACAGTGTTGTTTCTTGCGGGAATAAAACCCGCGACACGTGGCACGGCAACGCGTCGACAAATATTAATAAATGATTGTTTTAGGGCTGATTTTTCAATGGCTAGATAAAAGTTACCTGTGGAATAATTATGATGTTGTCGCATCAAAATGTTTGTATAAGACAGTGACAGCAACAATTTTATTCCCCGTAAAACATTTATCTGACTATTCAAAAGTCAACCCTTAAAAAACTATTATAACAAAACTCACCATTCCAGCAGCTAGCAAACAAACACAGAGACAGGTTTCCAAGGTAGACCGTCCAGCCAGTTCTGCCACACTTTTGCCCCCGACGGCTATAAACAGTTTGGCGTACTGCAGGGCGGTGTCTCGGGCATCCTCGTCGCCGGACCCCGCGAACCGAAGCCCTAGGGCGAAGCACGCGCCCGCTATTATGTTGCAGTATGCTTGACTGGAATTTAAAGGGACATTTTAGACTATGTTTTCTTTTTGTGTCATAATTAATACTATTGCTATGAAGAATATACTGTTATAAACAAACAACTTTTTTACATGTGTGTGTGAGTAAGGTTATTGGAGGCCCAATCCTTCTCCTCCCCCAATCCCAAAATCTCCAAATCCCTAATCACCAAAAGGTCGGCAAGGCACTCGTAAGTCCTCGGTAGTTGCGGAAGGCGCTGATTGCTTACCATCAGGTAATATGTCTGCTCGTTTGTAGTTCTTTAACATAAAAAACTATAGCATCCACCATCTACTTACTTCATAGCTTCATAGTCGATGTTATCCTCAGTGGGCTTGACGAAGCAGTACGGTTTGATTGTATCTGGGACCTGACTTTCCACCCACTCCTCAGTAGGCTCTATGCTGTCCCATAGAACTAAACCTAGAAAAAAAAATGGTTCTTTGAAACCCATTCACACATCACAAGGTTGTAAGTGCTTACTACTGAGACCTCTTCTCATATGAAGAAGGGTTGATCATTAATCGCTAAGTTTGCTCAATGCGGATTGGCGATTTCAAACTTGTAATTAGAAATTATAAGTCTAGATTTTCGCTCTATGTTTTCTTTCACCGTTTGTCATTGGCGTGTTTAGAAAGTACATATTACCCGGAAGGAGTCATTTTGTGGTACTTGCCATGTTTTGAGTCAGTAATCTTTGAAATGAGAAACGGACGCGGAAGGATTGTTGGTTCGGGTGTGGGTGGCTTGTGTATATTAGAGTATACAGGCTGAAATCGAATAAATGCAACAAAACGAAATAAAAGCTTCAATAACAGTAACATAGTAATTATAAACTGTTTTTTTTACAATCTAAGACCATAAATAAAATTAAGTTTTTATCGCTTTAAAATGGTCCATTGACGTTGTTACCTTTATTTAAGTACGAATTATCAGTATTCCAGAAAAAATATGAATATACAAAATAAATAAGAAGAATTAAAATATCAAGAAATCTCGTCCGACATATCGCAGTGCAGCATGTTATTTAATCATTGCCGTTTATAGCGATCATTCACCTCACCGTGTCGCTAATAAAAGTTTACGAGTATTCATTTTACATTTGATTGTCTAAATTTTCTTGACAACACGTATTATTGTATGTTGAAATTTGTCGCATTTATTAAATTTTACCCTGTATAAAGAGAACAAGTTACCCCTGGCGATGACCCGCAGCATGAGCAGGTCGGGGCGCACGAAGTCGAGCTGGTAGGGCGTTAGTGTGGGGCATATAAAGAGAACAAGTTACCCCTGGCGATGACCCGCAGCATGAGCAGGTCGGGGCGCACGAAGTCGAGCTGGTAGGGCGTTAGTGTGGGGCATATAAAGAGAACAAGTTACCCCTGGCGATGACCCGCAGCATGAGCAGGTCGGGGCGCACGAAGTCGAGCTGGTATGGCGTGCGGGGCGGCTGCAGCCAGGCGGCGCGCGCGCTGCATCCGCTGCGCAGGTACAGGAGGCCCAGCGCCAGCGTCGCGCCCGGGGACGTCACGTCCAGGTTCACTGTCGCGCCTTCGCGGACCGCGAACGACCCTTGCTTGTACTTCTCTTTTTGCGTACCTGCGCGATTCGATTCAACCTTTTTTGGTTTTTGACTGACAAAGCAGTTTGATACTGAACAAATATTGATTTTTTTTATATTTATATACCTGTGATATAATTAATACGTGATCGATCTTTATAATTATACTTTTGTAGTTACAAAAGAGAACGGTACAATTTGACTTAGTAGAATAAATCAAGAAAGAAGCTATTAAGTTACGTGTGAAAGTTTAATTTGTAATAAGCTTTTTCACGGGCGTCTTCTTTCAAGTTTTCTCCGATTCCAATGACTGTAAGATTTATAAAAAATTACTTTAGTATACGTAGAGAAAATGATTTGGAGTTTTATTTGAACAATGAATTTATTTATACAAATAGGCCATAAAACAACATTTTTTGCACGTAAAATAATATACAAAACTAATATCAGCAGAAATGCTGAATATTACAATAATATTTACCGCTTCTCGATTCTCTTTGATAGTAGGGTGATTTGTTATAGCCCATAGCACTTAGGAACATTGTCGTTATCTATCAATGATATTTTCGGGATGAACCATTGGTTCCAAAGGGGTACGTATTTGAATATCGAAAATTAAAATACCTACGCTTAAAATACCAATGTTCAAAACATCGAAAATTGAAATCTATTATATCAAAATGTCGAAAATTGTTATACCCAAGCTTAAAACGTCGAAGATTGAAATGCCGAGTGATTAAAATTTCGAATGATTCAAAATATCGAATGATATTATCCCTAAGTTCAAAATATTAACATTTCATATATCTAAATTCATAATATCTACGTTAAAAATACCTACTAGCTGAAATACCGAAAAAAAATTATATAGCATGCAAGCAAGCATGGTTTCTGTCCCGGCTCCGGCGCTGCAGGGCTCTGGCAGTCCCACGCGAGCTTAACGTCGCAGATGGTCTGAACGCTCACCACCGCAGCTTCGGCTTGTTGGCCAACCTCAGCTGCGGCGGCGCGTGTTAAAACCACCTGCTCCTCAGCTCGCGGGCTGCCTCGCCCCTCCGCGCCTACGCGATTCTAAATTACACGCTAGGGGTAGGGCAGACAAGACTATGTGGAGTCGGTTTTGCAGCGATACGTTTCTGTCACTAACTTTAGTAGCACAACATATTGACTTTCAAGAAAATATTTTAATTTAAAGACCTAAATAGTACCTTCACGATTGACCTATGCTTGTACACTAGACACCGTGGGAGCCGAAGCTGCGGAGGTGAACATGGGTGTCTATTCTTTGTTACGCAAGGGCGAAAGGGTTGCACTTCCCGTAGCGCCGGAGACGTTGCAGAAGCAACCGTTTTCCACTCATACTTCTTACATCATTTTTTTTTCCATATTTTAACTTGTAGGTACGTATTTTTTGGGTGAATTAATGAATGTATTAAATGTTGAAAATTAACCCATTTTTACACGTAGGTAAGTATATTCATTTTCGATGTTCTATGTACCCATCGATATTTAGGACGTTCGATAGTTTGTACTTCGATATTTAGGACCACGGAATAGAAAATACAGTGGAAGTGCCACTCAGACATCGCGCGCTAATCAACATGATGTATAGATTTACAACATTGTGGGACATTCGCCGTCAGAATCGTTCGCTCCGTTGTCATGATCGGTTGTCATGGTTGTCTCTAAGAAACACGAAATATATTAGAAATTATGCCTTGTTGTGCGGTTTTCAACTGCAAAAAAGTAAGCAGAAAAAAAAATTGTCTTTTGGTGGTGTATCGTATCATCGTTGAGTATTAACCTTTGTTAATTTTATATACATTTGATTTTAATGTAAATATCACATTTCATTACTTCAATGCAAACTATAAAGGGCCTTATTTTCATTACAATTAAGTTTAAATCTACTTGTTCGTTATGTGACGTTATATACAATATATTCCAGTAGTTTCGACGCTACTCATTTAGGGATGGGACACATTCGTAAATTAGGTTCGTATCGAGAATTTTTCATCATCATCGTTCAGAAAATTGATTATTGACAATTTTTGTGTATAATTCATAAATGTTTAACTAAGATTGCATACACACATCAACGTTTTAACCACACACAGCGTACATCCGTCTGTGCTAGGTGCGGGTGGTTAATCACCATTTTTATTTGATAATGTTGTACATGATTTTTAACAGAGTTACAAAAAGGAGAGTGACTCTCAATTCGACCGTACATGTTTTTTTTGTTCGTTCGTCTCCGTTATTTATGAACCGATTTTAATAATTATATTTTTGTTGGAAAGGAGATAAAACTTGTAGGAGCGCGTAGTGCTTTTATATGTTAAATAATAACTTGACCATTTCCAAAATTAAATCTTCAAAAAATGTTAATATTTTTCTTTTTTTTCTATTAGAACCTTTTTCCATTACTGATTATTTGTAGGTATATCGTGTCGATAAATTACATATATTGCTCACACGAATACAATAAATAACATCGATATATTGGGATACCCTGCCCTATCTGAGTAGCAAAATAGTAATGTCAATTGGTACAAGTGCATACAAATATGACATCTATTTCAAAGAAGTTAGCGTTTTGAATAGAATGAATTTGTTACAGCGCCATCTAGCGTTAAGTGGCTGAACCCGTTTGTAAATTGTTTTATTTAAGTTTTTTACACGATAGACGCCTTTATTGATTGTGACATGTGAAATGATAACAACTTTCGCTCATTGTTATAAGACTCAATTTTTAACAACATTTAGAAGATGATTTGCTAAAGTTGCGTTACATCTTTTTACCCAATTATATAGCTGTTTTTTATGTGTGTAATGGACAATTTGATTTGCGAATGTGTGATTTTGGCGACACTGGTTTTCCTTTTGAAAGAGTGTAGGGGCACTTCTACTTAATTTTCTGTTCTGTGTTTAGGACATTCGATAATCTGTATTTCAATATTTGGATCTTTCGATGTAACTTTTGTAGATATTTAGATTTTAGATATATTGGACGTAGGATATTTAACCATTCGATACTATAAATTTTCGTTATTTTAATTTTTGGTTTTATGGTCGTTCGATTTTTCCATTTTCGATGTTATGAACATCGATATTTTAACAGTAGGTATTTTAATCTTCGATATTCAAATACGTACCCTTCCAAAGATTAATACAAACAAACTTACAAATTTTATCCATTTTGTATAGATACATCTAGTAACTAAACAGAAATATTAGTGAAAAATATGTTTTTTTTTAACTTGATGTCAATATGTGGTCAAGCGAAACTACATATTCTAAATTCATATAACAAAAGATTTCTCCGCATTTTCATTAAGAATAAAAAAGTAGCTTGTGTCTTTTTTCCGTGTAACTAATGAACGTAACATTTCAAGAAGATTATATGAGTAAAGAAAAATATTCATTGCCAAGATAAGTAAGCGTTCTAAAGAGATAAAACCAATATCATTTCCAATTAGACCATAAATAGGTACTTTTGAAACGTCAAAATAGAATAGTAGTCTGTCAGTCTGTTCGTCAGTGAAGCTAGGTGTTCATTCCAAATTGTAGATTCGAATGGAGAAGAACGAGCGAGAAATCCAATCGTTACTGTTTAAAAAAGTAGTTTTATAATATAAAAGAAGTGCACGGTACCAGTGAGCGGCCCCCTGTCCCCGCCCAGCATGTAGGTCCGCAGCCTGCGCGCGACGTGGTGCGTGGCGGGCGCGGGGCGGCGCGCGGCGCCCGCCACCAGCAGACCCAGCGCCAGCCCGGCCGCCAGCGCGTACCCCTCGCGCTCCACGCACGCCTCCGTCTCGGGGCCCGGCGGACGACCTGACACAACCACATGCCTCAACTATGCCAGACCCATGCGTAGGTGATACCACGGACTCACAGAAAACCAGCGTGAAAAAACCACAGCGTTATGTTTCGCCGTGTGACTGAGGTTACCAAAGACCCAATCCTTCAATCCTTCCCCTACGCCAATTCCTAATCCTCAAAAGGTCGATAATGCACTCGTAACTCCTCTGTTGTTGCGGATGTCCATGGACGGCGCTGATTGATTACCATCAGGTAATGCGTCTGCTCGTTTGCCGACCTATGACTTAAGAAAAATACAATCACATTCTGCATCACACACATTTGCCACATTAAAATTTTCTCCTATGTCGTGGTATGTAATTTTACATGCACATCACACCCAGACCCGCAACAACAATTTGTGAATCACACAAATTATTGTTCCGTGCGGAAATCGAACCAGCGCCACGTTGCGCGACAGCCAGTTCCCCAACCACGGCGCCAACCATGCCTTCGGACTCTTAAAACAAGCATAATCACAATAACTTACCGATCTCATTGAGCAGTACTTGAGCGTAGTGCGTGTGCGCAGTGCCCTGGTATATGAGCCCCACCCCCATGAGTGCGGCCACCAGGATGTTCTGCTGGATGTCCAGCTCTATGGAAGTGGGGGGGAGGAGGGGCTCCAAGTGGATACTCATCATCTTCGTTGCTTGTACGTCCATCGTGCCTAAAATAAGGAGAGTGGTTTATGTACGGAATAAAGTAAAAAAAAAAGCAATCTGAATTAAGTGTAATCATGGCAAAGTGTGGTGGATGTGGTCAGTTCTTGGCTGCGTCAGCGAGTATCCGGTGTAGTAAATGTCCGGGTGCATACCACCGGGCCTGTGTGGGTGTACCGGCCACGGCGTCTCCCTCTCCTACCTGGTTGTGTCCCGACTGCAAAGCAAGAATTCCGTAAGCTGACAATTCTGCGACACCGGTGAAAGCTGCGTCTTCGGACTACGTGATCTCCGATAGTCCACCCGCCACGGATCCTGCGATTCTGGATTTAGCCAGAGAAATTCGTTCTTTTAGGGAGGAACTTAGCGACGGAAATCCGTGAAATGCGTCAAGAGGCCGCGGACTTCAGGTCTATCGTCGGTGGTTGCAACGAGCGCATTGAGGGGGTTGAGCTTAGAGTGGCTCACCTCGAAAAATATTTCGAGGACAGGGAGCCGTCATCCTATGACCATCTTGAAGCAACGATATCCGAGCTGAAGCTTCAGTTGAATGAGCGCGATCAGGACCTCCTGCTGAACGATGTCCTCATCACAGGAATACCGGAGACTAAAGCGGAGAACACGTTACACCTAATTAAGGCGGTCTCATTGAAGCTTGGGATTACAATCGATGATAGGGACGTGGTAAATGTCGAGCGCATTGGTGCGGTGCGTCGTAATTTCATCCCTGGCTCTGCACCTACTCTCAGCGACTCGGCTGGGGGATCGCGGCCGCGTGCAATCGCAGTGCGGTTGTCCCGTCGCACAACGAAAGATCAACTAATTCGTGCGGCGCGAGTGCGCCGTGGGCTCACCACTGCGGACCTTGCTTTGCCCGGCCAGCCGCATAGGTTCTATGTGAACGAGCATCTGACCCGTTCTAACGCACGGCTTTTCCATATCTCTCGTGAGGCTGCACAACGTCATAATTTTAAATATGTTTGGACGAAAGAAGGACGCTTTTATGCACGGAAGGAGGATGGAGTGCCGGCGCAACGTATTCGATCAGAGGCAGATATAAAAAAACTTTTGGTTAATGAATCGTTTGACCACTGTCATATGTGTGGTGGGCATTTGTGTTTTTATTATATTTTTAATTCTTTGTCATTGTTTTGATGTAAAATGTTTATTACAATTTGTTTTATCAAGAGTTTACGCTTCGTTACTGGTTGGCATTCCTTGCAGTGACGCGACATTGTTTAGTTGTAGGTTTGAAGCGACCTTGGTTAATGGCTATGGGCACCTGTATCTATGTATATTTATTACATTCATTCCTTACGCACATCGATGTTTTATAAACCGGTATCACTTCTTTTTCTATCTTGGCAGCTATACATTTGTAATAGTACACATTACTTATTCCAATATTTATCTCAATATTCTTATAGGCTTTGTTATTTTAAATCTTGACTTTTTTTACTGCGATCGTTTGATATGACCCCAAAGTACTTCAAAATTGGTTTTCTTAACGCTGGATCACTGGGTACTAACCACGATGAGTTTATAGCCGCTATCGAACGATATGACGTAGACATTATGACTGTGAATGAGACTTGGCTTAGGGCCGGGGAGGAGGGGCGCGCCCCGTCGGTGCCCGGCTACCGGCTACGGCACATGCCGCGTCCGCTGAGCGTGCGCGGTGGCCGCGGCGGTGGTGTGGGTTTTTATATTAGGCGCGGGACGAATGTACGTGCTCATCCTCATCCGATGAACCCTGAGCACGCGTGTGTTGAGCAAATGTGGCTTTCATTAAACATAAACGGTTGTAAGTTTGCACTAGGAACAGCTTATAGGCCACCATGGCTTGATGTCGACATTTTTCTAGACGCGTTAATGGCTTCTGTGAACTCGTTATCATTTATAACCACATAATGCTGTTGGGTGATTTTAATATAAATTACCTAAATTCATCACCATCGAATTGCAAACTGACTAAATTGAAAATGTTTTTGAACAACTTGAACTTAGATCAGTTGGTGACTTCTCCCTCGCATTTTACAACAAATAGTTCTACACTTATAGATTTGGTGTGTACCGACGCCAAGGTTACTAATGTCAAAGTTGAACCTATTGAGGCACTTGGTGCCCATGCGTTTATAACTGCGGATCTTAGGGTTAAAAGGGAGAGGATACTACCAAGGGTCATAATCTGCAGAAGTATCAAAAATATCGAATGCCAAAAATTTTATGAGGCACTGCGTTCAATTGACTGGTGTAGGGAAATGTCACAAGACAATGTAAATTTCATGGTGTACCATCTCAGTGGCAATTTGTTGGGATTATTCGATGTCTTTGCACCTCGAAAAGTTGTCACAATAAAGGAAAGGTCTTACCCTTGGTTGACCGACAATATAAAGCTTATGATGCGCCTTCGTGATAGAGCCCACAAGCAATTTATGAACGACAAATCTTTGCATCATAAAAAACAATATTATTTAGAGTTGAAGAGCCTAGTAAACAAATCTATTTATTTCGAGAAAGTAGCTTACTTTAAAAATAATATTAACAATAATTTAAAGTTTCCGAAATTGTTATGGAAAAATTTAAAAGCCACACTGCTTCCTCCAAGTAGTGTTGTGAATCTACCCTCATATTTTGATGACCCACATTTGATAAACATTAATTTCTTGCATGTTCCTGGCGATTCTGATGCGTCATTATCTTATCTTACCTATTACGAATTTCACAGGTATTCCGACTGTGCTTTTTCCCTAGAGCCCACTAACGCCACTAAAGTATTGAACATTTTGAATGGCCTAAAATGTAATGCTGAGGGATGCGATCAAATCACATTGGATATGTTTATGTTGACTGTCCCGCTAACTCTGGACTTATTGACGCGAATAGTTAATGTTTCTATAACAACTTCTTTATTCCCCGAGGCCTGGAAACTTGCAACAGTGCGTCCTTTACCGAAAGTGAACAACCCTAGTAATCTTAAGGACTTAAGGCCAATCAGTATCTTACCCCTATTATCCAAGGTACTGGAAAGGGTAGTGAATGAGCAGTTGTCTAGGTTTCTCGAGGTTAGTGGCATCCTTCCAGAGCTGCAGTCGGCTTTAGAAGGGGTCGTAGTACAGCAACAGCCTTGCTGGACGTAACCTATAATATTCTGTCTGCACAGGATGAAGGTCTGTGCACCATGCTGGTCTTGCTGGATTTTTCTAGGGCATTCGATGCCATCAATTTGTCCCTGCTTCTGTCTAAAATGGCGTATTATGGGTTTGATGTGGCAGCGTTGAGATGGTTTGACAGTTATCTCAAAAACCGTACTCAATTAGTTGAGATTCGCGATACAAAGGGTTGTCCTTTGCGTTCGAGTGCGGAACCAGTTACTAGGGGCGTTCCGCAGGGATCAATATTGGGCCCAACCCTATTTATTTTTTACTGCGCTGATATTATTGGAGTCATAAGAAACTGCAAATATCACATCTACGCTGATGATGTTCAGATATATTTTTCATTTAAGCCGTGCGATTATTTGGCTGCAGTGACGGCTATAAATGAGGATCTAAATAGTATAGTGGAATGGTCTAGTCGTAACTGTCTCATATTAAATCCATCAAAAACGAAGTATATGCTTTTTGGAAGAGACGGTCAGTTGAAAAAGGTTCCTAGTAATTATAACATATTGGTGGGTGGACAAGTCATTGAACGTGTACATGAAGCTAGGAACTTGGGAGTCATTATGGATCAGGCCCTCAGGTTCGAAACCCATGTTTCAAATTGTGTGAAGAATTGTTTTTACCGCTTGAAAGTTCTGTACAAAATGCGTGCATATCTCAGTGAGGATTTGCGAGTGCAGCTGGCTGAAGCTTTGGTTTTGTCGAAATTAAATTACGCGGATACAGTTAGTGGCCCTAGACTCTTATCACGAACAAAGAGGCTGATTCAGCGGGTTCAGAGCGCGTGTGCACGTTTTTGCTTTAGGATACCTCCGAGAGGACACGTTACACCTTACCTTAACAATTACAACCTACTAAAAATGAAGTCACGTCGTAAGCTCCACCTAGCTTGTCTTCTCTTTGGCGTCATAAAAAAGAAGTGCCCTTTGTACTTGCACTCAAAGTTGTCCTGGGTTGGTGCTCATCGAAGGCGGGAAGGTAGGCAGTGTGCACAGCATCTAGCAATACCTCAACATAAAACAGCAGCGTTTCGAGGCAGTTTTCGGTACGCAGCGTCCAAATGTTGGAATAATATACCACCTCCTATCAGAAACTCGCCAAGTATTAATAGCTTCAGACATAATCTCAAGGGTTTCATTTTAACTTCGCAAAAAGATAAGGCTGCAATTGGTAGTGATTTGTCTATTATTTAACTCAAGATAATTTAGTGTAAGTACTTATTAACAAAACAATGCAAAACAAGGTTAAACGGACTGTCCTTTCCCAATGCCCTGCGTTCTGTCATGTGTACTATGTATTTATTAACATTTTTCTTATTATTTTATTTTATATTACTCTTTACATTTTATTATATTAATATGTATTCCATTTTTGTATCTTTATACCTATCATACATACATATTATATACTTATATATTTTTGTTTGTCTTTGTCTAGCCATAAAACGTTGCTACCATCCGTGCGTCACTGCAGGGGTGCCCACTGAAAATCAGTGCCGGGCGACTTGTATGCCTAGCTTACACTGAGTGGGTAACCCATTTAGCATGGGCATGTTGTAGCGTCTATTTTCTGTTTCATCTGTTTTAATCTTTAACTCATCTTTGTCTTACTTCTACTGTCACACTTTTATTGTCTTTTTATATGCTGCATCGTGCCTGGTGCTGAATAAATGTATTTTCTTTTTTTCTCTTTCTTTCTTCTTTACGTATATAGACCATAGGGCAATTAAAAGCTACCTAATTCCATAACTAAACTTTTTACGAGTTAAATTTGAAAAAGGTAGATGTGCAATGCGGCAATATTAAAATTTAATTGCGTTTTGTTATATTTATTGTTATACCGTAAAATTTTGATTAATGATGTATTTCACATCATTTTCAACTGCCATGTGGCACAACCAAACATACAGACATATAAACAGAGTCTTAGAACCAGGGTTTCATTTTTGTTTTTATTTAGGAAAACATTGCACCACACTAAGATTTTCTCGTGTGTCGTGAATTTTCACATACACATTACACTCAAACTCGGAATAACAATTAGTAGACAAAAAGTGTTTTTCCGTGCAGGAATCGAACCCGTGACGCGTTGCACTGTAGCCAATTGCCCAACCACCGCACCAACCGTGCAGTTAAATTATTATTACCTTTCCTTTCTTTTTATTATGATCCTTTAGATTCGGAACCTTGAAAAGTATTTTAAAAGACGGATTTAAATATGCGTCTTCATCCCCATAACATAGATGGTTGACAGTTAACAACTGTGCGAATTACGCGAAACTTTATAAACTTTGGAATAATCTTCATCATCATCATCATCAGCCTATAAGTGACCACTGCTGAGCAAAGGCCACTTCTCTTACGGAGAAGGTTACAGCATTAATCACCACGCTTGCTCAATGCGGGTTGGCGATTTCAAACTTATAATTAGAAATTATAAGTCCAGGTTTCCTCACGATGTTTACCTTCACCGTATGTCAGTGGTGTCTAAATAAACATAGAAAGTACATATAACTCGGAAAAGTCACATTCGTACTTGCCCTGACCCACACCCTCATGCATGAGAAGCGGGCTCCTTAGCCTCCGGACCACCACGACTCTATCTTACGGTAGCGGTATTCCGGAACGGATACAACCTTCAAACTTTCAAGAAACGTAAGCGTAATCCTTCTTAAAATGCCGGCAATGCGCGTGTTGCTCCTTTGGTGCTGCAAGTGTCCATGGGTGGGGCAGATCACTTACCATCAGGCTATACGTCAAAAAAGGCAAAATTTCTTTCCATTCCATAAAAAAATTACCTCTGTAAGTCGCAGCGAGGCCCAACAAGAGTCCGACGCTGATCATCTCATTGCACTTGACGAGGTATTCGTATATATTCATAAACGGCATGTCCCGCAGGTGGCCGTTTAGACCCAGGCCCATCAGGAAGCCCGCGTGCTCAGTTGACATTTCTGCTGTACCCTGTAGAGAGAGATGTTAGGAAAAACTTAAAAATATTCGATAAGGTGTCAGATAGACATAATTATCAAACTAGACATAGAGATAGATTATGTCAGCCATTATTTAGATTGGCAAAGGTACACAAGTCGTTCATGGAATTCTGTGTTAAATGTTATAACAAAATCCCAGGCGAAATACAACAATTAAATGAAAGAAATTTTAAATTATGTGTAAAGAAAACTTTATGTAGGAAAGCATACTACACATTGAATAATTACATTATAGATAAAGATGCTTGGAGACATGCTGGTCCTGCTCCACAGGATAGCAAACCTACACCAAAATAAATAACGTTTCAGTGGATTTTGCTTGAACGGGACTTCTTCATTTTAGTGAAATTGCATTATACTATATTGTTTAACTATAACTTGATAAATTTGTAAATGTGAGTGCCCTGTAACCTGAATGTCGGTCCTTATAACAGCTTGGAGTTGTCATGTTCACTGAAAGGTCACATTGGCGGTGGTATGGGCGCTGGATCGCTTAATTCCCTATAGTATGGTTGAGTTGGGCGATGCTGGTGTTCGTGTCATGCTCGTGAACGAGCGCCGCACTGTGTGTTATTTTGCCTTAGTTACGTACATGCCAGTTTTATATTTTTTCTTTATAGATTAACCCTTTATAAACCTATAGAAAAAATCCCCGTTTTGATATTTGACTTAATTTAGGAGATACAAATATTTTAGTGAAAGGTCACTGACCTTCTTAAAAAAGTTTTTCGTCTATATTTCTTGAATGAAGCAAAATTGCAGGCTCTTGTGAACTACCACTAAATTGTGGGTTTGAAATGTATTAATTCTAGAAAGTGCAAGTCTCTAACGTAACTAGAACGAGAATTAAAAAAAATTTGACAATTAACGAAAAAAATTAAAAATTAAATAACTGTTTGCGGGTCGCATTTTTTTTTAATTGCATAATATACTCGTGTAAAAGACCTTCAACTGGACAAAATTCTAAATTTGTATCTAGCCAGATCTCGGAGATATTGAGTTTCTATGTTTTTATTAATTTTCTATGGAAATAGGGTTGTCAAAGATGCAGAGTAGTAAATATATTTTTCTTATTCAATTTATTAAATCAATTTATACTAATCAATTTCTGACTGATCTGTTGGTCTAGTTGTCAGTGGCCCTAACTGTTATGACGGAGGTGGTGGGTTCTATTCCCTCCCAGGACAAATGTTTGTGTGGTGAACATGATCATTTGTTCTGTGTCTGGGTATAATATATCTATAATAAGTATGTATTTAATAAAATATTAAGTATGTTTATTAGTTATCTAGTATTCATACCTCAAACTGCTTAATTTGGAACTACTAAAAAAAAGTTGTAAACACTTATTTATGACATATCTTCGCTATCGGATTGATTTATGATTTCTTCAGACGTCAGCGTAATATTATTTTCTTCTAAATCTTCGGAATCTAAATTATGGTAGTTAACATTGTCTGTTGTTACGCTTAAGAGTTGAAGCACTGATTTTGATAGGGGCAAAGGTTTTTTATGTTTATGACGTGTACTTAGTGTTAATGTGGATATATATGGATCGGAAGACTCTAATGCACGGTGAAATAAATCTAATATTGTTGTTTTCCTGTCTAATTTCCGAGTATGGTGTTGACGATCATAGCGCCAGTATTTGTTCCTTGACTCGCCTGCTTGTTCGGACAACATACCTATGGGTAACGGGCTGGCGTCTATGATCTGACGGCCATGAATTAATATCTTGTGCAGTGTGACAGACATATAAAACCAGTTGTATTTCTCCACGTATTTTGCAGCTACAGATTTACAAAAGGCTTCAAATTTTGCAGCATCTATGTATAAGCCACTTGACAGCGCTACTAAAATGGTATGCAGATCATCCACCAACCATGTCTCTATACCTAAGATATCTGCAAATGTTTGCCGGTGTTGGTCTGACAGTGCTGTTCGTGCTGTGTTCCCGTCATTGGTTGTTCCCGAATTCGGACGAACGACATCAACCAAAAGTGACAGTTTGTCTCTTAATGCGGTTTGTATTTTTTTTTCCTTTCCTCAACAATTGTGGCTGCCGGTGATTTTTTATTAATCCTCCACTTCATGACTGCTGGATCATTTTTGTATCCTAAGTGCAGTAAGAATTCAAAAATTCTAATCCAGGCATGTAAGGGACTTATTCCATGACGCAAGGCTTCTGGATTTACAGGTTTGTTGATGACAACATCCAATTGATTGAACTCCGTTGCTGTAGCTCCACAACAAGCACAACGTAATTGTGAAGTGGTCCCAGTAATTACGTTGAATACTTTACCATCTATTACAGTTAAATATAGTTTCGTATCTGAAATTATAGATTGACCTTCATCAGTTTCGGCATAAAGCGGTGTCAATTGATCTATTTCAGCCTGTACCCGATTTTTTTCTTCGGTGATAAGTTCTTTTGTTTCATTACGATATTGAATTTTTAATGGTCGACAAAACCTGTACGATTGTGGGCAGGGGTTAGACCACAAAAAAAAACCGTCATTCGTTTTTAATCGTAAAGGGATATACGTTGTTGTAAATAAACAATTTTCATTCTCGTTATCACCATCTAAAAACTTCTGTTTATAAAAAGCCTGTCCTGTACTGCCATCGAACCCCCAAGAACCCTCAAATCTACAATGTAATATGTTTTTTTGCTTTTGTTTGCAATATTGTGAAATGCTTTCGGTACTCAATTTAATGATTCGGCGGAATGTGTGTAGTAATAAGCTGTGCACTGAAACACTTGCTTCTCTTTCAGTAATAACTATATCTTCGTCAGGATAACACATTTGTTTGGCTATTTTTAATTTAAAATATGGAGGATAAGCTGGAAAACCTCTTTCTTTCAAATCTTTCTGTATGATACTATAATCTTCCACAGTTAGTTTCCTATCAATGACTAAAGAAAGGGCTTCCTCAGGGGTATAGGGTTTGGCTTCGACTTTCGCTTTCATGAACGATGCAATTTTTTTAGGACGAGTTGGACTTTTCAGGCACTCATTAATAACGAACTCTAATTCTTGAGCAGAACTTTTAACAAGTTTTTCGCCGTGAATTTCATCTGTTACTATTTTCGACATCATTTTAATTATTTTTGACCGCGGCTGATCTTGAAGAGACTCCTCTAAACTTTTTCTAATTCGAAGCATTTGACGAGAGTTCATTTCATTTGAAGCAGATGGACTATTATTAGACGTTCCGGGTATTGTATTATTAGTAGTTGATGGAATTTCATGTGAAGGCCCAGGTACCGGTTCTGTAAACAAAATATTGCTTACAGAACTCATATCTGATGATTCTGGTTCTTGAGGTTTTAAAAGATAATCAGAAGGAGAACTTGTATTTAATTCTATAGGAGATTTTTCTATTTTGGTTGGTATTGGAATATCGAAAATTGTAGAAAGCCATTTCTCATTCTTTTTAGTAAAACGTTTAAAATTTCTTTTGCTGTTATTATAAAGCTTTTCACAATTATTAATAAATTTGGATATACTATCTTTAAGGTTTTTATTATGTACATCAAGATTGTCAGGAATACCTGTTGGGTACAATGCATTTAAGATTACCATTGTGCGATCGTTGCTTTCTAGGTCGCCCGGTCTTTGTTTAGACCCAAATTGTTTGGCCGTTTCAACTAAAACATTATAAATTTCCAATTTCGTTAGTATTCGCGGATCCGTATTCAGGCTTAGGTCGTCGGTGATCATTGCCTCTCGCTGACCAACATGAGGGTTGGCGCCCTCATGCCCCCCTTGCAATAAGTCCTCTGGTCGGGGCCCAGACGGACATCCCCCAACAGGACGGGTCAGTACCTGCTGAGGCAAAACAGTGCCATGGGTCTTTAACGGCTCCATGACACCTCACCACCGCTCCTCCAGATATTATGTAAAGGGATTGGGTTTTAGCATTTGCCTAACGAGGGCGGACCCCTTCCCAATCCCACACAATATCCTTCATTGAAGATAGATCATATACAAAAGTAGTGACCGAATTCAACCGTAAAAATTTAATTAGGCAATTTTGATTTCGACTTTTTGCATAATTTTGACATATAAATTTAAATTGTGTAAACTATGCACGTCTCAATTTAAACTGACTATTGATAATACCTACCCAAGACAAAAATAATTAAACAGTAATGTTTTCATGAAGCACACAAATTTTAGTGACAACCCTAACCGACAATTTAGAAATTCAATAATTCCGAAATCCTGGGTCTGTTGCAACTGAGTTTTTTTGTGGTGATATTTATTATAGTGATCAACATTTAGGCTTAATAAAAAACGCGACCATGAATAGAATGTCCTGAAAAAAAAAAAATCAAAATCATAGAAAAAAAAATATTCTCACTTGTGTGAGCAATATTTTTAAAGTTTTCAAGAAAAAAATGGTTCAGGTAGGGAATTACTATCACACCATAAAACATTTCGTGTAAAAATCAAAATAGAAAACGAGATATTGTGTTTCTATGGTTTTTAAGGATTTTTCTCGATTTTATTTATTTCTCTTAAACTACAGTAGTTAGAGCCGGCGGAGTTTTTTTAGGAGTTTTGTTTGATTATAAGCTTTCCGAAATACATATAAAACGGAATTGTCCGAACTAAGGCAAAATAACACACAGTGCGCCGTCAGTTGGGACTGGTCAGCTCCAGACTGTCTATTGTCCTTAAGGTTACTTTATTTTTATATTTGAATAAATATTAGTGTTACACTGTTCCCACATAATTGAACCAACTATTTGTAAAAGGAATCTGTATGTGAAACTGATTTAAAAAGAGTAACCATGGAGTTTCTTGCTCGTTCTTCTCCATCGGAATCTACACTTTGGAACGAGCAAATAGCTTCACTAAGAGGACTGACCGACAGACTGACACGATATCTTCAAAATTTTGTTTTGACGTTCAAAAGTGCCTGTAAAGGTCTAATTGGAATAAATGATTTTTGACATTTTGACTTTTGACTTTTAGAGACAGAGAGAAAGAGACTTTAAAAAAAAAGTTGCCCCACACTTGGATTTTCTCCTGAGTTGTATGTTTATAAACACGCATTTTCACATATACATTAAACCCAGGCCTGGAAAAACAGTATGTGGATTTCACAAAGAGTGAAATTAAAATCCAGCTTTCCTAGCGATATAATATGGTTAGTGGGGTCTTTTTGAAACAGAAACTACATATAACTCAGAAATATGATGAACAAAATACATCTTTATACATAAAAATTTCATGTCACGTGTTTGTCCGCGATGGACTCCTAAACTATTAAACCGATTTTAAATTTGATTTGCATCTGTGTGCATTTGGATCCAACTTGAAAGATAGGTTAGCTTACATCTCACACAGCAACGCGTGGCTAGGTCTGCTAGTAACTAATAAAATTGCAATACAGATTTCATAATGACGGAAAACATTCAAACAACAACTTATTTTTCATATAAATTACGGTCGACCAGAAGTTGTCAATTAAATAGGTGTTAAATTAATAAGTATAGCTAAGCAACTGATCCTCAAATTGTTTGGTACTAACCCGTGGTTTATTGTAGATCACCCATTCAGAATCAATGGTGAAGCCAGACAGCGGTACCAGCGACAGCGCAGCGGCGGCGCCATTGTGGAATGCAGGCCACGCCCCCGGCCCCGCCCCCTCTGCGCCGGCGCCCCGCCCCCGCCAGCGCCCCCACACGCAGACGCGGGGCAGCTCCACCGCCTCCGTGGCCGGGCACGGCACGCAGCGCAGGCTCGCCATTCCTCTGGGGACACTTGCTCATTTAACTACACAGGCTAAACACAATAAATCCTACTAGACTTATAATAAAAATGTGTCTATGACAAATGTTAAAAGGAAATCTAGATGTCAGGCAAGCCTATCAATGATATCATGGGTTTTAAAGTTAGATGATGAAGGACCAGCGAGTATCCGAAATTTAATATACGAGTACAAAGGCAAAAAGTTCCGGTAGCATATTTTTGGCCCAAAATTTCTTACTGTTATAGTTATCTGATTACTAGTCACTAGACAAAAAGGGATATCAAAAAACACAGAATACATTTTATCAAACATAGAACTAAAAAAATTGGCGTTGTTTTCCAATCCTTTCAATCCCCCCATCGCTCCCAAAACCAAAACCCCTTATTCCTAAAAGGCCAGTAAAGCACACGCTACTCTTATGCCGCTGCGCCACATTACACAAGGAAACAAATCAGACTTAAGCTAATATTATTTTATACTAGCTTCCGCCGGCGGCTTTGCCTGCGTGGTATGTTGATAAAAAGTAGCATATGTCCTATTCCGAAGTGTATCCTATACCTGTGCCAAATTTCATCCAGATCCGTCTAGTCGTTTTGGCGTGATTGAGTAACAAACATCTAAACATCGTAACTTTCGCATTTATAATTAATAGTATTAAGAAATTAACACCCTTACCTGGCAATAGGCAACGCCATAGTTCTAGTGCTGACTGCAAACAAATACTTCTCCTGCTCCTCAATGAAGTCATGGTCTGATACTTCGGGCCGCTGTGTCAAGTTTATAGTCACAGGAATCGATGACTGTAGCAGATTTATTACTTCTGTCATTCTGAAAAATAATTTATTTTGATTACTGCTGCAGCTTAGCAAAAACCCTCTCCATGAAAAAATGTTTTATATTTCTGTAATAAAACTACAAAAATGTATTAAATATATTACATTACAATCTAATTATTTTTTAATTACTTTAAATTCCTTTCTAATTTATTTTGCATGCACACTGTTAATGAAACTGTACTATAGAATGCAAGAAATAAAAGGTTTTTTATTATTATTTATAGTGTTGTAAGCTCTGCTGGATTCGGCACATGGCCACGTACAACTATCTTTAGGTAGGTTGGTTTAGATTGACCACTTTTGACTAGTATACAGTCGAAGTCAGTATTGGTAAACACGTAAACTCGTAAATCTTCTACTGGGGTTTTCTTTCTTTCTTTCTTTAGATCGGCTCATCCAACGTATTGATGGGGTGATCTAGTAAAACCGTTCAAAAATAAATGCGGGAGAGCCGAGCTTCGGCACGATTAGGTCGGCTCGACCGAAGTGATACCACCTCACAGAAAACCGAAGTGAAACAACCACAGCTTTGTGTTTCGCCGTGTGAGGTTACTGGAGGCCCAATCCGTGGCCATCCCCCATCACTTCCCAATCCCTAAATATCCTGATACCTTATCACTAAAATCACTTCACGTTCTATCATCTCACCTATGATCCCGTGGGTACAGCAGACTAAGTAGTTGCGTGTTGAGATGTTCCATTCCGGTAATGACGTCAGCGTCCTCCGGGTTACTCCGCGCCGGCTCTACGGGTTTCTTAGCTAGCGTGTACACAGTGTCCTTCTCCAGTACTTCTAGCGCTATAACTGTGGGAATTGATAGACATTTTTGTACACAGAGAGTTGGTATTTGCGCAAAACATTTCGTTCGTTGCGCAGATTGAGTGGAATGCGCAATTTTGCGAAATGTCACGTTATTTAAGTGCCAAGAAGATACAAGTATCTTGTAACTAAGTTATACATTACAACTACTAAAAAAAAAAGTTGAATTTTCAGTAACCAAGCAATTTTTGTAGATTTTAATTGTATGATATACATATGTACCCACATGCAGAATATAATAAAATACAATAAACGGATTATTCTGATTCAAGCGTTAGGCTTATAAGCTGAGTTAAAGATGTTAAATATAATTAAATTAGGTACATAGAGACTTCAAAAGTGGGGGTATATTTACTACGAAGCTTGTATTTTATCGTTCTAGTAGGTATAGAGATATCATTTCAATACTTCCAAGTAGTGTTTTTACAACGATATAATGAATTTAAATTATATTAACAATATGTACTTTCTATGATTATTTAAACACCACTGACATACGGTGAAGGTAAACATCGTGAGGAAACCTGGACTTATAATTCCCAATTATAAGTTTGAAATCGCCAACCCGCATTAAGGAAGCGTAGTGATTAATGCTCTATCCTTCTCTGTATGAGAAGAGGCCTTTGCTCAGCAGTGGGCACTTATAGGCTGATGATGATATTAAGAATAGTTACGTATTTACAACTTGACCTTTTTTCACGTAACGTTTTATTTAGACTGCACGGTTGGCGCTTCACAAATTGTTGTTCCGGGTCTGGGTGTGTTGTGTAAGTGAAATTGTATGTTTGTAATTACGCACTTACAAAACAGGAGAAAATCTTAAAGTGGGGCAACGTTTTTTAAATAAGAAAAAAAAATATTGATTTAGTTTAATTGGGTTGTACCATATTCAACTAAATAAATAAAATAACTGTCAAAACTTACACTCCATATAATCGGAAGCAGTTTTCATAGTATGAGCGACCTCTGCCTGATGGGCGAGGTCTTCCCTCATCACCAAGTTGTAGGCCTCCGGCGGCCAGTCGGCTGGGGGCGAACTCTTGCAGCGACTGAATATTGTGAGCAGTAGCAGGCCCAGCGCTGGTGGTAAGTTGTCTACGTCTCTGAGGGTTATACCTGAAAGAAGGAAGTTTTCAGAAGGGGTATTGTTTAAGGAAGAAATGAATTTGTTCTTGTGAATAGGCCATAAAACAAATATTTTACACGTTAACATTTAAAAAAATAATCTAGATGAGTGCGAATATTGTGTTGGCGCGGTGCCTGGGCAACTGGCTGCCGTGCAAGGTGTCGCGGGTTCGATTCCCGCACGGAACAACTCTTTGTGTGATCTACAAATTGTTGTTCCAGGTCTGGGGGTGATGTGTATGTGAATTTGTATGTTTGTAAAAGTAACCACAACACAGGAGAAAATCATAGTGCGGGGTAACGTAAAATAATAATAATAATATGTAAGTTGAAATATTTCAATAAATATATTTTTAATAATTAAATGTAGGAGAGGCATGCTTCGTCAAGAAAGGATCGGCCCGAACGGTGTCCTACCACGACCTCAAGAATACCGGCGTGAAACAATCACAGCGTTGTGTGTCGTCGTGTGAGTCAGTATACCGAAGGCTACATGACAAAGCAGCTTATGGTCTTTTGTTTTTATGGTATAGGTCGGCAAACGAGCAGACGGGTTACCTGATGGTAAGCAATCAATGCCGCATATGGACACCCGCTACACCAAAGGCGTAACGAGTGCGTTTTCAGCCTTTAAGGGATAAGGGTTTTGGATATTTAGGGATTGGGAAGGGATGGAGAAGGGGAGGGATTGAGCCTCTGGTAACCTAACTCACACGGCGAAACGCAACGCTATGTCTGTTTGATGCCGGTTTTCTCTCTTCCACACTTAGTTATTAATACTGTTACAAGTTGTTATTAAAAAAATTATATTTAATACCTTTATCACAGGCCATGATGACTGCCTGGCAGTAAGGCGAGCTATAGTTGTTGGTATCGCGGCGAGCTCGCGGCGTGCTACTGGCTGTCACGGTGTCGCGGCTCGATATAGTCTGTATGCCGGCACTGCGTCCGCAACCCACTGTTGATAGAATCTGAAACGTTGTACATTGAAGATAAGATTTTTTTTTATTTGAAACTTTGCCCCGCATTTGGATTTTCTTCTGTGTCGTGGGTGCGGTTTACATGCACATCACACCCAGATCCGTGCAGTCAAGATGCATGAATTACAAGAACTAATATTTTTTTCATATTTTATATAACAAACCCGCCATTCGAAGTTAAAGTCAAAATCATTCACTATATTCACTAAACCATAAATACTTTACTTAAAGGTACTTTTGAAACGTCTAAATAGAAAAGTAGTCTGTCAGTGAAGCTAGGTGCTCGTTCCAAATTATAGACAATCGTAGACAGAATGTGTGTGTGACACATGAAACCTAAAAATATAACACTCATTTTTTGAGCATTTGTGTATAAAATATCTCTTATTAAATCCAATCGAATCTGTATTACATGTATGTAGCTAGCAGACCCAGCCACATGTTGCTGTGGCTAAGGTAAATAATATTGTGACTATAAATTGAGATGTAAGCTATCCTATCTTTCAAGTTGGATCAAAATGTACACGGAATGCAAATCAAATTTAAAATCGATTTAATAGTTTAGGAGTCCATCGCGGACAAACACGAAAAGAAGAAAAAAAAAGATTTTCTTTATTTTTTAATTTTTCGCGCTATCTGGTAACCAAAAATCAGTAGCTCTCATTATTATAATAATCAATTTAAGTAAGAGAAGCCATGCTTCGGGTATGAATGGATCGGCTCGACCGGAGTGATACCACGGGCTCACAGAAAACAAGCATGCAGCAACCGCAGCGTTGTTTTCTGCCGAGTGAGTAAGGTTAGCAGAGACAGAATCCTGCCCCAATCTTTAAATGTCCCTTATCACCAAAGGGCTGAAAACACCATTACAATTCTTAGATATATAAACATAGGCCATATAGAGTTGAAACTTTTCCCCGTAAACTTTAAAACGCTTGAAGAATACAAATAAAAATATAGTATTTTTAAAGCTTAAGAATAAATAGAAAGATTAATTCTATACATACATACCTCGATAATATCCCTGGACATATCATTGACCTCAGCTAAATATGGGTAAGATCCAACATCCAAGTCCTTCAGCATCGAATTCAAATAAGAATACACATTAGGAGGTTCCCTATTGAAGTAGACAGGCTCACACAACTTGTTCAAACTACTCTCACATATTTGGGTTTCATCGTCATATTCCAAATTCAAATCCGTTGGGAAATCCAGCCAGTAATGATTCACATAGGCATCCAATTTCAAATCCTTCGACAGTTGGTACAGAAACGCTGACAACGGTCTTAAGTTATTCCATAGTAAAGTATTTAATTTGATTTCTTCATAAACTAAATGTAGAGAATACAATACTTGTAATATGTATGGAAATAGCATAGAATTTGTGTTGATTTGTATTGTTTTTTCGGGTTCAGTACTTGATCTTTTGTTCTTTCTGTGGCTGTCTGAATTTGGTACGGGTAATTTTAACATGGATAGAGATTGTCCAATGGCTTTATGCATTTTTGAGTTGAGTAGGTACTCCCAGTCATCCGAAGACCCATCGCTTGAGGTCCTCTGTTTCTTAGTGGCGACCTCTGCATGCTCTACATCATCAGTCTGTTTAGCTTGAAGTTTTTCTACGTCGTATCCGATGAGAGAAAAGAGAAGGTTCGAGAACATTGACCATTCTTGGTCGGGAGTTAGGTCTTGTGTGCCCGGAGCGTTGCGTGCACCATACCATTTGATTATTACCTGGAAAAATGTTAGTATTTGATGAGTTAGTTGTAAGTTTTATCAGTAAGAAAATTAATATGAAAAAATAATCATCAGAAATAAATATAATTAATAATTGGGCAGTTTCCTTGGTCAAAAATAAATTAATTCGACGTTTCAATACAATATAATATTGAAAAATAACTATACTTTTATTCACCGATCGATCGATACATTAAATTTTAGACATTTTTTAAGTAATAAGTAAGCTATTTGAAGCAAAAGTACTATGGCGTCACAACTCAGTGTTTCATACAAATTTCATAGAAAAATATAGTTTTTGACATTTGGATAAAAAAAGTATTAAATTTGACTAGTTGGAAACTACGGTATTTTAAAAACGCCTGGTACCTTGGCGCTTTAGTATTTTTTTTTAGTGGAAAATTATAAAATTACTTTTCCCGCCCTGATGGTGGGGTGTGTATGAAAACCACCGCGTTGTTTCTCCTGCCCAGAGCTGGGGCCACGGTACATCGTTGCGTTTGACCCGCAAGCCCGGCTGGGCCCTTGTAAGTCTTGAGTTTGATTTTTAATAAAGCTAGGGCATATTAAGTTGCTATTATCTATATCTCCTGATCAGAAACTTAATTTCAACTTTTTAATTTTTTATTTCAAAATAAAAAACGTTGCATCACATTAGGATTTTCTCCTGTGTCGTGGATGCGTTTACAATCACACAATTCTACATACACACCATACCCAGTACTGGAACAACGGTTGGTAGCCAGTGTCCCAGCCACCAAATTAGTAATATCTGCAATATCCTACCTGCATTGTAATATCTTTAGGTAAAATAGCTCTTAAAGCAGTGTAACATCGTGTGACCAGAGTCGAACAAGTTAATGGCGGTAAGGATATTCTATACATCGGTCCGGCTTCAAACTGCAACGTCATACGGGAACCAGCCGCGTCGCAGAGACCACACAAACCTGAGAATATAAGAAAAAGGAAGTCAGGTAACAGACTTTGAATGTTATTTTTAGCAGCATAAGTTTCAATATAGAACGAAAAGAAACTGTTCTGTGAATCAAGAAGTCATATTTTAGTTCAAAACCAGAAAAAGCAACACCCATTCTTATGTTAACAAACTTAAGCTTTCTTTTTGTATGTTGGAAATTTGTCCAATCTATATCCAACCTAAAATCAACTCTAAAGCTACTAACCTAAGCTTTCTTTTTGCTCGTGTCTCGCAGTGGAACTATGAGGGACTGGAGATAGTAGATGTAGTGCGGAGTCATCAAAGTTGGAGGTCTCATTACAACGGCTGGGGAGTAAGCTGCTTCGACGAGGGAACGGAGACTGGAATGTAGCTCGTTTTGTGTAGGGAGAGTCTATTAGACGAGCTAGTACACCACCAACGTGGACCTGGAGGAAGAAAATAGTTATTAATAATAATATACCGGAGAGATGTCACGGCTTAACAGAATGCCGGCGTGAAACAACGCTTACTTTACGATATCACGGCTTAACAGAATGCCGGCGTGAAACAACGCTTACTTTACGATATCACGGCTTAACAGAATGCCGGCGTGAAACAACGCTTACTTTACGATTCGTAATGTGAGTGCGGCCCTTCTGCAAAATCTTAACAACCTCCAAGAAGACGGGTACTTATAACTCCTCTAGTGATGCGGGTGTCCAGGGTCGGAGGCGATTGCTTACCATCAAGTGATTCGTCTGCTCGATTGGCAAAGTAACCCATAAAAATAATGAATTCAAAAACAAATTGTTTAATAGGGAGTTTGATAACAATAATGGTATCGATTTTTTATTGCAATTAGTTTTAATTACATTGCAATTCATCCAAAAAATACGTATTTGGAATAATAACATTGAAGTGTTAGACGTACTTAAGTAATAACTATAACTGTAGTTTACCAACTACAAACAGTATTACAACCTACTACTTTATTTAAACACTAAGTTAAATAAAAAAACTTAAATGAATGAACACAAACCTTTCCAACAACATGATTCCCAGACTGCAAGATAATGTTGCCAGCCTCATCAATCAACGCAATCATATTCAGATGCTCCAACACTACCGCATCTTTAGCCAACACAGTAGAAACAGCTCCAACCATGAGATTTGTCTTAGAGGTCTGCCCTAAAGAATGTGACCGTTGCAACCGTACAATTTGCAACCTGCTAACCCCTCCCACTTTAACAATAAAACACAAATAATCGTGGCCAACTAAATCTGTATGCAAAAACGTCTTCATATCACTTGCGGACTCTATAGGATCTCTTCTAATTGTTTGTGTGTCCGTCCAAATATGATCCAAGCAGATATCAGGGTATAAAGGCAACGCTGGAGGATTCTGCGGACCATTGTTCCCCATCATTGATGTGTAAGATGCTTGCCCAATCGAAGCGTGAGGTGACAACCCTTGCTGGTGGAACACGTTGGCCATCGGACTGTTAATCCTAGATCTAGACATTGTCGGAGTACTTGGAAACTTCTTAGACTGGTATGGACTTCCCAAACCAGTTGCCCAACTAGTAACATTCCGCTGACTCTGCATCGGACTACCCATATAGTCACACGATTGACTGAACACAGTTGTTGTAGAATTCATATTTGGGCACATTGACAGACATTCATCTCTGACAGTTCTTCTGATCTTCCAAAGCGAATGTGTACCTAGTTTCCAGTCGTAAAGTAAAATAATACTTGGGTTTGAACTGACGAAGATAATTTGTACATCTCCGTCGTTGTAATATTGAAGACCTTGCGAAGGTGACTTCATCAAAATAGGAGTAACTTCGTCTAAAGGATGTGTTAATGAGAAGCAAGTTGGTAACGCAACATCCTGGTCAAACGCTGACACAGATTCAGGACGCAATTTCGAACTCATGTTAAATGGAAAGTTTGATTTGGACTTAGAAAAGGTACTATTCTGAGATTCGTTTAATTTCATAAAGGAGGTTGGTAGCATGGAGTTCTGAGTTAAAGGCGTAGCCTCCTTTTCTAATAAAACGCCATATTTCATTGGCCAAACTTTTTTAACTTGGAATGGTATACTAGTGATGTACTCCCGACCTTCATTAGCGTAAACTTTCATACACTTATTATCTATTAACAAGATGGCCGGCATTGTTTTAGTTTGTATATGTTCTGTAGTATCTTCTATTTTTATGTTTTTCTTTACATCACCAATCTGGGTGTTTAAAGCGTCTATGAGCATGGTGTTCTTGATATCAACATGGAAGTTGCAGAAAGCTGCATGTTTTATGGGATTTTCTATGGTGTAGCAAGCTATTGTCTCTCTGTGTTCTGGATCTGTTAGCTTCGTAGCTGGCATTGAGATCAGACCTATAAAATGGAAGGACAAAAACCTTTTAATTATCCTGAGGATCTATTTGTGACAAACATTTTTAGCATAACTTTATCACTATGCATCCAGAAAATTTTACATATTTCTTGTTAAAATATGCATAATTTTAATTATTTTATCAAGCATCTTGTTCTTGTAACATAACACAAATAATATTTAAATTTTAAAATTAAGTATTTCCTAAATAAAATCTCCAAACTGCCACAGAGAATATCTACAGATTATATGCAAGAATTCTCTTACCTTTAGACCAAACAGCAGTGCATCCTTTCACATAAAGCTCTTCTTCGTAAGAGCTATCGGTCTTCGGATTTAGCCCACCCTTGGATTTCTTACTTCCAGAACCAGAAGTCAGGTTGAATTTCTTGGACATGTTACTAGAACTATTAGCGCTACCACCACGGGACGGGCCTGCAGAGTTTAAGCCATCACCTTCCATCTTCTTCATACCACTCATCAGTTCTGACTTGATGGAGATATTAAAGTCATTTTTGAGACGACTTGGTGCCCGAAATGATTCAGAGTTGAACTCGTACTTTGAATCCTTCGGTTGTTGTTGTTCTTCTTCAAAATCTGTTATGGAATAAAAATTTTGTGGTCAGAGGATAGGTCAATGTATTTTTCACACCTCACACTAAAAAAGCTTATTGTAAATTTCTTTAAATGCTTATTTTAATATTAATAACTAAACTTTGCAATAAAATCATCAAAACAAGAAAACAAGAGACCATTTTCTGACACTCTCTGAGATTAAAACAAATAATCAGACAAAAAAATTATATTTGTTTGGGTGTTATTGCGATCTGAGTTACCTAACCTGATTGGTACATCTCAAATATTCTATAAAATATATTATATTATAATCAAATATTAAAAAAATAGTATGTATATTGGTATATGTCTATAACCTTCCTTGTTAAAGGGATTTTATAATCCAAAAGTAATATCAAATTTAATCCAATACATTTTAAGATAAGCATGTTCTAACAAAATCACCCTATACCCTTAATTACAAAACAAGGTTTTTCTTTTGTCTAGGCTCTAAGGTTAAAACCATAGCATCAAATTTTGGATTTAGAATCTTATGTTCAATAGTTTAGACATTGACAAAAAAAGCCTTGTTTACAGACCAAGGCTGTTTAGGTTTAAAATACCAATAAGTATGAATTCCACAATATATTATAGTATTGACCTCATGACTTGATGTGTATGTTAACCACAACCAACCATCATTATTCCTGTAGTACACTTCTCTGATGCACCACCACTCTTGCTCATCTGTCTCCCTTGCTTCCAGCAGGCTCTCATCCTTGATGGCAAAGTTGGTGAGCTTGTACAGCAAGGAGTTCTCCGACGCTGAGGTGTTGTGTTTGCTGTAGATCTGACCCGGGTGCTTCGCCAGCACAGTTCTGCCGTGTGGCACAAACTCCTGAGAAGTTGATATTGAATTGTGACTGCAGTTTGATGCTTTTTTGTTTTGATAGGCTTAAAATTTATTGACTGTGATACTTTTGTTACGAAACTTTTCAACGCAATACGATAGAGAAACAGTTTGTCTTATCAAGTTACAAAATTTAGACAAATCGAACGCTTACTTTCATATTTGAATGAAAAAAGGCATATAAATATGAAGCAGTAGTTTTGCTTTAATGAAAGGAGAAATTATTACACTGTTTTACAGACTAATATTCGAAAAACAAAAACAATAACACACCAGAGGCTCAGACGCAGCAATCATAGTATCTTCATCCAGATTTGAAAGAATATTTGTAACAACACACACACGTGAGCATAAAATGATTACGGGATTATTATATAGCGCGCGGAAATAAAATAATATTGAATTATTTCGATAATTCGTTTCTTAACGAACGAAACGAATTCCCATCTCCACAATTTTTGACAGTTGAAATGAGTTTGACAGCCGGTAAGGCAATGCGCAGCGTTTCGTTTCTTCGTTGTCGTAAATTACCAAACAAAAATCTTGATAGCAAAATATTAGAAAATTATATTTTGAGCTGTATTTTTTTTTTGTGAGGTGAAATCATCAAATGACTTTTCCCGCCCAGGGCCGGGCAGGAGGGAGTGTCAGACTCTTACTGACTAAAAACCCCCCTGTTCCTTCTCCTGCTCTTTGCATTTTGAGCTGTATTAGAATACTTATTTTGCAAATTCTAAATAATTTCATTGTAAAACATAGTATATTTAGACAGGTTTTTCTTTAGGTTAGTTTGAGGAACTTACATATTAGAGGTAAGGGTATTGGATGATGGTTAGACCAACAGAATAATAACGAACCTGCTTTTTACAATTAACGACATTCGGATGTCGTTAATGTCGAAGGTCACAGGAAGCCGTCGGCTGTTTGAATGTTTCCATTGGCTGATCTGAAAGTCACCCAGAACCTGTATTCTGAGCCCAGAAAATAAGCCTTTGTTCTGCGGTGGACTTCATCTAGGATTTAAGTGTGGGAGAGCCATGCTTCGGCACTAATGGGTTGGCTCGACCGGAGTGATACCACGGCCTTACAGAAAACCGGCGTGAAATAACCACTGCGTTGTGTTTCGCCGTGTGAGTGAGGTTACCGGAGGCCCAATCCTTCCCCTTCCCCAATCCCTCCTCAATCCCTAAATCTCCAAATCCCTAATCCCTAAAAGGTCGGCAACGCACTCGTAACTCCTCCGTTGCGAGTGTCCATGGGCGGCGCTGATTGCTTACCATCAGGTACCTAATCCGTCTGCTCGTTTGCCGACCTACTTACTTATTACATAAATAAAAAAAAAGATACGATGATGATAATGCATTGCTGATGATTTTGTTTCAACGTTGTCCCACACTAGGTTTTTTTCCAAGTCACAATAAGTACATAACTATAATATAATTATATATTATATAAAGTTATAAGTGTTTATATTTTTTGCAAATACTTACATATTCCCATCCTCATTTTTATAAAGTCGTTTAAAAAAAAAGATTGTTGAACTTTCAAAATTGCATCGCAAGACATATTTGGTAAGCACCAAGGACTTAAAAAAGCCATCGCGGTTCTCACTGCGCCATATTCCGCTCTTTTACTTTTTTATAGGTACCACACTAGGATTTTGTCCTTGTCGTGGGTGCTTTTACAAACATACAATTTCACATGCACATCACACCCAGACCCGGAACAACAATCCGTGGATCACACAAAGAGTTGTTCCGGGAATCGAACCCGCAACAAGTTGCGCGCCAGCCAGTTGCCCAGCCACCGCACCGTGCCAACCGTGCATTCGATTCTATTGAATGTAAGTAGTTGTAGTATATCAAACTCTATTTAATGACTGCATGACTGGTTGGTACGGTCGCTGGGCAATTTGGCAACGTGTCGCGGGATTCCCGCACGAAACAACTGTATATGTGATCAACAAATTGTTGTTCCGGGTCTGGGTGTGATGTATGTAAAATTGTATGTTTGTAAACACAGTCACGACACGGGAGAATATCCTAATGAATATCCACGACTTCTTCGCAGAGAGACAGTTCTATTTCTAACTTCTCATTTTGCACATGCGCTCTACTAGTTAGTTTGTGCCACACTAATATATTCCCTTCAGAACAGATGCAGTAATGCATCAAACATCTGACTGTCTGCGTATGCGACATATGATTGAGGTAAACTTCTTTAAGCAACTCTGCTTCGAGAGCAAGTACTTAATTAGAATCCTAGGAAGTCATGCCTTCTCTGGAGCGAGACATCGAATAGGACAGGCCTATTGGCCTGAATAGTATTTTGATAGTGGTGAGGCCAGCAGTAGGATGTTAGTCTGCGGTCTGGCTCACTATTTCGTCCCCAAGAGCTGTTTAAGTTCCAACAAGAAAGATCCTATTTGCTATTGCACCACACCGATATCTTTCCCGATCTAACTCCTGCATTGAACACCTTTGTTTTGTTAGGATCTCGTACGACCGTGAAACAAATGACTGCGCGGTTGGCGAGGGTACTTATGTCGCAACGTGCACGGAACAACTCTTTATGTGATCCAAAAATTTATGTTTTGAATCTGGGTGTGATTTGTAAAAATGTGAAATTGTATGTTTTTAAAAACATCCACATTATAGAGAGAGAAAATACTAGTGTTAGGCAATGTTAAAAATACAAAATGGGCATGTATCTAGCTAGCTTAGCTTGAAAGTTCATTATCATATAGCTTCCCCAAAAACACGTTAAACCTAACAATCTAATTTGACAGTATCTGGACAATGTCTAAGAAATTCTCAATCTTCATTTTCGCTGGCTTCTCCCAATATTTAACGTTGCGTGCTAATCGCGCATAAATTGAAATCTTATTCTTACCTACATTTTATAGTTGTTAATTATCCTGCTTCCACATCAGATCGGCACGAATATAATTCATATTTATTGCGTGTTGCTCAAATTGATTTATACAACGGTGCATCGATACAATGTATTGTTAATGTTTATTTATTAGGAACACTAGGACAGAATAAAACAAAAGCATTGTTAATATGAATAAACTTTATTACTACAATAAAAGGATATAGATTGAACCGCGGTTTGTAACAAAACATTCAACAATATACTTTGGAACCAAACAGGTAAACACTTTGGGTGCCGACATATTATGCCCTAACTTATATTTAAAAACAGACCAGTGTTTCTCAAACTACATTAAAATTTTCCCGTACCGATACAAAAAATCATCAACAATCAATTTGCGCTACATCAATGTACTGTTTGTTCAAGATATTTTATACATATAAATATATACTATACCTGTAGCACAAAGTGATTGCGATTATCTTAAAAATAACGATAATAATTCATTACAATACCTACTTTGACTAACCGTCCTCGCACGTGCTGAGGACTACGGTTCTTAAAATAAAGTAATACAGATCTTCCAGCACCATATTTATTCATATCGGATCCTATAGGTTTCAATTTAGAGATTTCCAATATAATCTCACCATTCCCATAAATACATTCTGTGAAAATTTAATAAATATAATTTAAAAATTGTGTTATTACTAAATTCCCTTTTCCGATAATGGCCCCTTCTCAATTAGCCTTAATACTAGATTTTTCATTATAAAATAAGGCTCTATCTCGACAAGGCAAAATATATATTTCTTCATAAGTAATCTGTTATTTTATGTAGTAATAATTTATTTTGATTGATATAGTAAAGCCCTGTAAAGCTCATCATTAAAAATCTCGAATAGGAACCGTTGAAAGCTCACCTCTTCATAATAAAACGTAACAATCCATTAAACTTTACATAAAAATCAACAATTATTATAGGTTTAAAATCTATGTGAAAATAAAAATGTTTGAAAAAACATAAAACTGCAATAGATTTAAATTTCAAGTAATAGAGTTAACATGATAATTTCGACATTTTGGAATGCCACAATATTGACAAGTTGTTAAAATATTTATTATACATAATATATATCACTATATTTTACATATACAATATCTACATGCTAGCTTTTCTATTCTAAATACATTTGGTCTTTGGATGAGCATGTCACATTATGGCTTGTGTCATCGTTTGTAACTTTAAACAATATAAGTGCACTTTTCGAATTTAGTACTTGATCATTTTTTTTATTTTAACCCCTAATCTAGACTAGACCTGCAAACGAAATCTTCACGCCGGCAACCTTAACATAGGAGATAGAATAAAATCACAGAAACCCCTTAAAATCCATTACAAAAATAAACAAGAACAAAAATTTGAGAAACACTGTTCTTCAAACATGTAAACTACTACATTAATATAATATTGACATTAACTTTATAACTTAAAAATGGTTTTAAAATGATCTTAATATTTTTTAGTATCTTTTTTAATATTTTTCTCACATGAAATTCATGAATTTTCGATAACTTCAGGTACCTAATAGGGACAAGATTAATCTAATGAGTGTATGTTTCATCGAATGATTTTTTTTTCGATTTTTAAAATGTTTTTCATGAAGATCGATAAATAATAATTATGAAACAATGGTGATATATTTTTAAGTTAAAACTAACAGCACTAGTCAAAGTTTTTTTTTATCACAAAGAAAATTTTTGCGAGTTTGACTCGCGCGATACGGCCGGTACTTTGAGGCCTCATCTGGCAACTATAAAAATTACAATCTCTACCTCTTTCGCCAATTGCTCCATATCTTTATAAATAGCATCACGTTTCCTTACAATAGATTTTCTCATACCGCATTTGTTTCTATACCTTGTGAAAGTATACAACTTTCAAAAAAGATTGATAAAAATCTTTATTTTTTAATATATAATTTTTAGATTGGGATCTTTGTTAGAGTATGACTATAACAATAAAATAAACATTCAATAACAATATGTACAAAGGATTGCACGGGTACTACATAGTAGGTTTCTACTAGAATTTTAACAAAACTCCCAATCTTAGGCTGGAAATTGTTTAGGTACTGAAATTTAACAATACTCAAAGCGCGGTCAATGAATGTATTCATTTGTTAATTTTAATCGTACTAAGCAAGTTGTTGTTTACACACATCGCGTAATACAAAGTGAGAAAACTGCAAATAAGGCGCTCACAATTAGCGTGTTTTTTGCACATTGAGTCATATCTAGATTTGATCATGTAATCCCATACTCCACAGATCTAAACGAGTACAAGTAATACATTACAGATACACCATATTGTATACAATTCAATTTTAAGGCAACACACGCATTTCCAGCCTTTCGTTCATCCCACTTCCTTCCACCAGTTGCCATGGTTGTTGTGATAAATTCGCTTTTTACAAAAACACGTGACTACAGCCACTAATGTATAATATAAATATTAAATATAAATGATAAACCATTGCACGTTTGCAATAAAACGAGAAATAAGTCACCTTAAAAATGCGATGCAGTCTATGCATGTGGTGTCTTAGTATCTTCTTTTAAAACTCTAAAATATTAAGGCGATTCAAATAACCTAAGTTTACACATAATGAGGTTTACAATTATCTTAAAATGACTTATTTGTTTGGCATTTTATAACCGTTGATGTGATGAAATGGCGGCGTCGAATCCCGCGACAAGACGATAACACCTTAAGATATCATAATTGTAATGTATTTGTATCTGTTCTTACTATAATATAAATCATTATGCTTTGTTGTTATTCGTCTGGACATACATCTATCACTCTTACTTTTTCTAGTCCTAAACAAAGCAGTATTTAGCAGCCTAAACGACGTTTTAAACTAACGTAAGTATACATATATACTTTCTTTTTTCTATTTTCAATATAAATATTTCTATACGCTACGTTATAAAAACTACAGTTAAAAGTGTACAATAATATTAATTTTTATGCGTACAATGTAAAATTAGATCTATATATAAATATTATCTGATTATAAAGTAAATAATATTTGGAATAATATTTTAAGGCTAGTTGTGTCGGTATCTCATACCATGGAAGCGTTGGAGTCGTTCGCTTTGGCGGTCATGTAGTGCATGGCGGAGTCGTCCAGCTTGGAGGTGTTAGAGGCCACCTCGGCCAGCGTGGCCAGCGCCAGCAGGTCCCCGGCCAGCGGCGATTGGCGGCAGAGCGCAGGCGCGGGCGCTTCCGTCGCGATCTTCATCTGTGGGCTGGTCTGCTGCGCCTCCAGGTCTACGCTCGATACCATGCTGTTGATCTCCAGCCGCGTGATGCTGATCTTGCGCGGCTTGCGCTTCTGGCTACCGATGACGGTGTCCCGCCAGTGCTCCGCCGTCTCCCGCCGCTCCTCCATCATGGACCTAGGAACTGAGTTGACTATCTGCGAAGACTCCAGCGCCTTTGGTTTCAAGTTGACGGTCTTCTTCTTACGCTTGTTTTCACGTTTCTTTTGTTGGAATTTCTCTAGACTAAGTGAAGGCAGGGCTCTAATTTTAGCATCTAAATCAAAGTCGGCAGCCTTGAATGTTTTGTTGGCATTATTGTCGGGTTCAGGCATGTCGGCTGAGTCGGTTTTATCGTCGCTGTCGGCCGGCTTCTCGTTGCTGTTGTTCGGCTCGTCATCCATCGTGTCGTCTCGCAGACTGCCAGGGTCCCAGCTACAGGTCGCGCTGTAGTTCTCGTCTGGCTTGTCCGAGTCCCGCTTCTGTCGCTTGTTGACAATGAGTCCCCCAACAGCCATGAACTCCTGGTACCTCTTCCCCTTGCACGATCTATCAGACCTCATGTTCTTCTCATCATCCGACCAATTCCTCTGGTAGCCGTACTCATCGTCTTTAGAGTATCTCTTATCCACTATTTGGTCTATCACATCTTGGTTGGTGAACTGGTCGTTGGGTATACCGTAGTATATCCTTTTCTTTTCTTGCAGCTGTTGTTCGAAAATCTTGGAGGTTTCGGTGAGGACACCCTGTAATTTTTGTATGTCGTCATCACCTTTCGTTTTGGCCCTCTCTATTACATTATGAGATCTGTTTTCGTTTGGTGTTGAGATCGCGTTGAATTTATAGCAAGGGGGTGAGTAGTAGGGATTTGTAATTTGAGTATCAGTCTTAGTGGCGAGGAGGCTGCTGAGACCTCCCATTTGGGCTTCGTCAGCCAGTTTTCCAGGAGTGAACATGGAAAGTGGTTTAGATTCAGCTTCAAAGGATTCTTCCCTAGGCTTCTTGTTGAAGTCTACCTTGGTGGAGTTGTTGTTGGTTTTCTCCAGTTCTGGGTCATGCTGGTCGCTGTTGGGGGACTCAACGGGCTTTTCATTGGAGTCTCTGGGCCGGGAGGACAGCGTGCGGAGTGGTGGCGCGGGCAACTTGTACCACTTGAAGTCAGGGTTGGCGCTGAAGAAGGCGTCTTTGTACTGGAGAGCAGAAGATTGAATTTAAAGACCATCATCAACGACATACTTATGGCATCTTTTGACACCTGAATGTGATTTCTTACCTGTTTAGCAAGACCTGTGTAACAAGCCTTTTCTTCCTTATCCAAGTTAGCCCACCACTCGCCGAGGATCTTGGTTATTGATCTGTAACACATTAGTTAAATGTACATTATACTGTTTAAGTATGAAACAGTGTACCTACACCCTATCTAATCAGTTATCGGATGACTTGAAGAGTTATGTGGAAATATACTAGTTTAGTTTAGTTAATGCAAGACATTCAGTGTGTTTCTAAAGTAAAGTAATATACTATGTAGTATGTGTAAAGAAGAGCGAAAATAGAACAACTTTTGAATGCATTTTAAAAAGTAACGCATCTGTATCTGCTTTTTAATGGCGTATTTTCATTGGTGGAGGTTATCGTCTACCGCTTCAGCGATTGGTCCGTTACTTTGGTTCTTATTTCATAAAAATATTGGGGTCTTGTGGAACAAACCTGTTTTCGAGATTAGGATATTTATCGCGTACGACGCTCCTGTGACGTTTGCAGAAGATGAGGAACGCATTCATTGGGCGACGCGCGTGGTGCGCTGGCTCGCCATCACCCTCCTGATCGTGCATTTTAAACTATCTGTAACAAACAAATATAAACGTTAGTTTTTAAGTATAAAGCTCATAATTCTAATTTTTTTAGGATATTTTGATGCTGAGAGACCTGCCATTTTAGAGTACTTACATTTTTGTGTAAGGTTTGTTATATTTATAAGTACTAAATAATTCAAATAAATCTCAAATTTTCATCGGAACGGTTCGAGCTAACCTATTTCAAAGTAATACGCCTTATATTATTGTAGGTCTACGTATCGGTAGGTTCTCATGACCTTATTCAATATGGCAGAAAAGCTAAATAAGAAGATTTTCGTTTTAATTCTTAATTCCTATCAAAATGGATTTTTACATACGGATAGCATATTTGCACAAGTAACGAATCATCAAGCATCTATTCTGGACACTGATGACTGCAGAAGAATCTCTTATTCCGCCCCTCCACTATCTGCCTTCCGTCTCAGTAAATACAGTTGCATTTCGTCTGACAACATTTTCAGCTGATGACGCATAAGTTGTAAACATTGTAGTGTCTAGGAATAGCCGGTAGTCACTTTCCGTGGGAGGCTATGAGCTAACACGGTGTCTTGAGGCTATAATTAGTAATTATGAGTGATGGTTTTATTTGACAGCTGTCAATTTGACATTATCAAATGTCATCGAGAGGACGAAGAGGCACGTTACCCTATTCTATCAAAATTAATAAAATATGTAATTAGGGAAAATTTGAAAATAAGAATGATGGGGTTTAATCAGGTGGTGCCTGGTTAAAAATAACATACCTACAGCACTTTAGAAAACCTTTTGAGACTTGTAAAGATATACTGACATAGTAATTATAGAGACATCTTGATACAGATACAAAAGTTAAAATTAATATTAAGACTTATGGGCAATGATGTCTATTTAGATAGGAAACTGGACAACAATAGGAAAATAAAACAAAGACAAGTAAAAACGTACCTAATGGTAACTGTTATAAATCATAATTTGTAATCACCGTACACAGCCATTAAATGTTTTTTTGATTTATTCCATTCTAATACCAAAAACTAATATCACTGGTATTTGATTCAACTCTTATTTTTTTTCTATTCCGAACGGATACCACTTTTTAAATAATTTAATTTAATGTACAAACGAATACCAACAACTTGAATTTGGTACAGTCAGCGCAGTCAAACCTAATCAAAGTAAATTTGTTTTTCGATATTTTTATGTAATCGTAATATAATGCTTAAAATTCTCCAAATTCACTTCACTCCAATATTTTTACAAAGGTAAGCATAGGTAAGAGTATAGTTTTAGTGAATCATCTTGCTATTTTTTTTACCTGCGAGAAAGGGTGAGTTTGCTCTATTGTTCCAAAATTCGTATGAAGGTGATGAATGACTGATTAGATTATACAAAAAGTTGATTTTCTGTGATATTTTACAATTGTTAGATAAAAAGTGATTTATTTTTGTTCAAAATTTACCTGACATAGTTGTTATGAGATAGGTAGACGTGAATAATTACGTACCTATCTAATAATAACTATGTCAGATACATTTCAATATAAATTAAGAGTTAATTTTTTGAGATATTTTGTAATTTTTAGATTGTAAATAAATTCTTACAGTTTGATGTTTTTGCAAAAAAAAAAAAAAATATTTATTTATTTATTTAATTTCTTTATGCACAAAACAAATGTACAAAGGTGGGCTTAATGCCATGGGCATTCTCTGACAGCCAAACCTTTGGATGATGCAGAGATAAATATAAAGGTGCACAAAACAAGCATCATCGGAGACGTTATAAATACATATTATACTGTAAATATACATACATATTATACTGTAAATATACATACATATTATACTTATATATATACATACTATATATTATATATACAGCAATAATATAATTACATATACTACTTAAAATTATACATATTTTGCTATTTGATGTCATGATCACGATACCTCTGCCAACCTCTTCAATAGCAACTCCCGAACCTTTTGCTTGAACGCCCAACGATTCGACACCATCCTGACATCGAGGGGAAGCGCATTCCACAGAATAATAGATTAAGTAAAAAAAGAAGAATGAAGAAATTTTGTGTGATGAGTTGGACATTGAAGAAGGCGGTTATTAGAAGAACGGAGATACTTGCTGTGGTTTGCGCATGTGTATTGGAAGTAAGGGGATAGATAAGTTGGCGAAGAAGGAGAATCAAGGAAAGAGAACAGAGTGGTTAGCGCCCTTTGCTCCCTGCGCTGGCGTTTGGGCAACCACTTTAATTGCAGCCGATGTGCAGAAACATGATCATATTTACGCAGGTTGAAGACGAAACGAATGCAGTTATTCAGAAGTCGGTCAAGTTTATTGAGGAGATCTGAATTCAAGTCATAATAACACACATCAGCATAATCAATTTTGGGAAACAACAAGGCCTGCACCAGCATTGACTTGGCGATGGACGGATGCAGGTTTTTGTCAGGAAGAGTCGGACTGGAGACCTTGGGGAGCGGGCGAACAAAAGCTCTTCGCCAAAGGGAGGGAAAGGAGCCGGAAAAAAGGGAAAAATTAATGATGTGGGTTATAGCTGGTAGGAGGTGATCAAGAATAGTCACAATCATGTTTCGAGAAATGTTGTCACAACCTACCGCTTTGGATTTGATGGAAAAGATAATCTTACCAACCTCTGCCGAATCAACCGGAGCTAAGTGGAAAGGATTAGCAATATCAGGACGCGTCAGACCAGAGATGAATCTTAGCGTGTTCTGTTTCACTAGACGGTCCATGATTGGTACTGTAGCGAAATGCTTGTTGAGATAGTCTAAACACATTGTACTGCTAAGATCTGAATATTGCGTTTTGCCGATGCCTAGAGTTCTGAGGAACTTCCAGATATGGGCTGAAGAAGAGGAAGAAATGTTTTCGAGAACGTGGCGGCGTTTAGCATTACGCACCATCTGGTTACACCTATTTCTCGCAAGTTTGAAGGCGGCCCAGTTTTCGTCAGTGCGATCCCTCCTGTGTTTGCGAAACGCCCGGTCCCTGCGGCTCATAGCCATCCTTATCCCAGGAGTCATCCATGGCGCCGGTGGCCGTTTCACCTCCAAATATTATACCTGTATAATATTTTTTATTTGCAAAACATAGAGGAACTAAAGTTATATTAAAGTTGATTATTTAAAGTTTGAAAACAAAATTTGATTTTTTTGGAGTTATCTTTTTTTTTCAATTAAAGGTCTTATATTTACATACAAAGCATTTTTACTGACTGTACCTTATATCTTTGAACTTGTTTTGGTATTAGTTTAAACAATGGTATCGGTTCGGAATAGAAAAAAATATGAGTTCAAACAAATACCAGTGGTATTAGTTTTTGGTATTAGAATGGAATAAATCGTTTTTTTAAGTCAGTCTTAAGCAATTGTTTTCAGAACAAAATAGTTACTAAGGAACACTTGTAGTAATCATTGAATGTCGTTCAGTTCTTATTATATCGATTGCATTTCAGACAAGTCTTGCAAGAAAAACCTGAGAAGACTTGAAAAATAAAGACGAAATAAGGTTTCATTATAAACATATTTATCAGTGACGTAATATTGCCAGTGTCTTATAAAGATAACCTGTACTTTATTATGAAGTGGTTTTAAATTGTTGTACATCAAATTACCTCTCCGCCATGGGCGGGGCGAGAGGGCGTGTCAAGTCTGACTAACCACCCTGTCTCTTTGCCAGCTCTAGGGCCTGGGCTGCGGTACACTATTACGCTTGACCTGCAGTATGGGAGAGCCATGCTAAGAGTAAAAACGCCATGCTTTGGCACAGCTGGGCCAGCTCGAACAGACTGATAACAAGACCTCACGGAAAACCGGCGCCAATATTCAGACCATTATTTTTCGCTACGCGAGTGAGGTTACCGGAGGCCCAATCCTTCTTTCCCTCTGTAATGTATAAGTTAATGAGTAAGTATGTTTGTTTATATCTAACAATAGTCTACCAAACGTCACAAACTAATCTTGCACTATCACAATTATGATAAGGGTGATAAAATACAAATCAGTGTATTGTTGAAATGATAGAAACATTTCGAAATCTGTAATGTCATGACGTTCGTGATGTGAAAAACCGGTGACAATGTAAAGTACAACACTATATTTCCACCCGCGCCCGTTTGATATATCGTACGTCCGTATGTACCTACATAGAAATCATTTGACTGTAATTAAGGGAAAATTGTTTATGAGGTTGTAGCGGCACTATCACGTCGCTACATTACTTAGATACGATAGAGATAAGACATACATGTTAATTGTTGCACGTTTGTTAGGATAGCTAAATCTGAAAATCTCACGCATCTTCTTAGTATATAAGCACCAGCAATTAAAGTAATAAACAGACCTTAACCATCTACAGTCTCATTATTTACCTTGCCACGAAGTCTGGCAAATTGGTGACCCGACGAAGAACAATCAACATGACTCATTCACCCTGCAAATCAAGCAGCAGCCAACAAGAAGCCTTGGAGATATCAGCCGGAACCGCCATTTTATCCCGTATTCCGGAATTTTGGAGGGACCAACCCAGATTATGGTTTAAGCAACTAGAAGCCATAGTAGCACCACAGAAGCAAGGAGACGATTACAAGTACTATACGGTCATTGCAAAACTGCCAAAAGAAGAAATAATACAGGTTAGTGACCTCATTACTTGCCCACCGCCAATAGAAAAGTACAAGGCTATCAAAGAACGCCTAATCAGTTGCTATGAGGAATCAGACCAACGTCAGCTCCAAAAATTATTGTCTGAAATGGATCTCGGCGACCAGAAACCATCACATCTTCTGCGCAAGATGCGGACCCTGAGTAACGGAAATATCAGCGACGAAACCATCAAACTTCTATGGTTGAGGCTTCTGCCACCATCAGTGACTTCGGTTCTAGCAGTCACAGAAGACATAGATGTGAACAAGATGAGCCAGATCGCGGACAAGATATTAATAAATTCAACACGTACAGAGGTGTCAGCTGT